CAGGATGATTCCAACTTACGGCAGAAATCCTCTGCGTTATTTCTCTTTCTACGAGTGTCGTTCCCTGCCCCAACTGAACAGCTTTTCCTCCTCCTTTGTGGACGTCCCATCAGCCCTCACGTCGCCCGCTGACATTGACTGTAAGCACAATGGCTGCGGCGTTTCCGGTGCTTGAGGAGCACAGAACGTGAGGGTGGGGGGTAAAAGGCCCGCCCACGAGGAGGATGAGGCGGGGAGGGGCGGTGTGGAACAATAGCCGATGATGTCATTGTTTTGCAGTTCTGGAAAGGGCAAAAAAGATGTTTCGGGGTGGTTGAGAGAAACCGTTTTCGCGGCTGACCCCACCGATGAACGAGGGGAAGGAGAAGTGTCCGGCTGCTTGCTCCACCCCTCGATCGCTGGGGAAGGCATTATCTCCCTCCCAGGTGACTACCTCTACTTGCTTAATGACGTAATCCTATGCATGTTTAGGCAGCAGAAAAGCCATCCAACTCCCAGCATTCTCCAGTCACCTATGTTGGCTGGGGAATGCTGGGAGTTGTGGGACTTTTCTGTGCCCTATGCGTTGCTGCTGCAGTGCCGCTCTTACTGGCTTTGATCATTGTTTTCTGAAGTAAACCTCTTTTCGTTCTTGTTAATCAGATACACATCCAAGGCGCGATGGCCCTGGGGCTGGTGGGCTGTAGTGGACTCGCAACATTGGACTCGCACATTGCGCGGAGTCACGAGTCCAGCAATATCTAGAGGGCCCTAAATAGTCACTGGTATCCGATTACATCTATCATTCGGAGACAAACAATGGCTGATCCTCCTTTCTGGATGCTGAATTCCTTGAGTTGTAGGGATTTTCTGCCTAAACATTCATAGGATTGCAGTCTAAGAGACTTGGGGCACTTTCTCAGGGGCAGAGTTCATCATTTTCTTATTAGAGGCCTTTTATATCATCGATGAGTTTGGAACATATTCATGAGAACAGCATGTTGGAAGGGATAAAATCTCGGTGGAACAAATGACTTGTTATCTCTATAGATTTCATTTAAGTCCCTTTTCTCAATGTCACAATGCCTTTTTAAGCAGGATTTTTAAAACAAAAACAATGCTACACCCCATCCATTAAAAAGCATTTTCAAAGAGGTTCTGAAAATTTGAATTTGTAAATTTTGTGCAGCAGTATGTACTGTCATCTTTATTGTTTTTAACAAATGTGTCCTTTTCTCTTGTCTAACAAAATCTAGGAGACCACACGTTCCCATGCACTGCATTAGCCAAAATTAAGCATTTTGAAACAAAAAATAAATGACTCTCATTTCTGGAAACATAAAGGTCTAGTACATAAAGGTCTGTAATTCAGATCTGTCTCTTGCTTTGGGAAAAACACACAGGCTCCTGGGTAGGTAGAGAGCAAAAGTAAAGTGAAACCAGTCTTTATACCAAAAAAAAAGCTGAATATTAATTTTGTGTGATGTACTAGATAAAAGTGAGAGCCAGTGTGGTGTAGTGGTTAAGAGCATGGGACTGGGACTCAGACAATCTGGGTTCTAGTCCCCGCTCCACCATGGAGCCAACTGGGTAACTTTGGGCCAGTCACAGACTCTCAGCCCAACCTACCTCACAGGGTTGTTGTTGTGGGGATAAGCTGGAGGAGGAGAATGATGTAAGCTGCCTTGAGCCCTTTGTAGGAAAAAGGCAGCATATAAATCAGGAAAAAATAAATTGAAGAAAATTGTGTAGTATATCTCATGGTTAGAAGAAATTGAGCACTCAAAATTCAAACTCCTTTAAGTGGTAGAAAATCATAAGAACATAAAAAAGCCATTCTGGCTCAGGCAAATAGTCCATCTACTCCAGTACTTCATTCACACAGTGGTACACCTGTATCTGCCTGGCTTCTCAGCAACTTGTATAAGCAGGTATGCCTTCTCTGGTAATAGATGTAGCCCATAGCTAGCAAAACCACTTGCCACTGCTAGCCTCCTTCATGAATGTGTCCAATCCCCCTTTAAAGCCATTCAGATCAGTGCCCACACTGCTGTGGCAGAGAATTCCGTTGTGTGAAGAAGTACTTCCTTTTATCTGTCTGGAACTTCCCACCAATCAGTTTCATGGAATGACCCCAGACTGTAGCTTTATGGGAGAGGGAGAAAAATGTTTCCTCCTCCACTTTCTCCATATCATGCATAATCTTTAACATCTTTATCATGTCTCCTTAACTCAACTTTTTCTAAGCTAAACAGATCCAGTTGTTGGAGCCACTACTCATAGGGGAGTTGCTTTAGACCCTTGATGATTTTAGTTGCCCTTCTCTGTACTTTTTCCAGTTCAGTAATGCCTTTTTCAGGTAAGGTGATCAGCACAGTATTGTAAATGCTGTCACACCGAAGATTTGTATAAGAGGAATATGATCTTGGCAGTTCTATTTTCTGTTGCATTCCTAATTATGCTTAGCATGCAGTTTGCCTTTTCACAGCAGTTATGTACTAGGCCAACATGTTAATCGAGCTGAGTATATCAGCCCAAGAACACTTTTCTTGATCAGTCAATTACTGCTAGCTCAGATCTCATCAGCCTATGCTTGAAGTTGCCCCAGTGTCACTTTACACTTGCATCATCTGCTTTTAGTGATAGATTTCATTCTGACCAGCTAAATATGGCATTTTTCAAGGTCTATTATAAAAGATCAGCCCATAAGAGGGGTAAAAAAATCTCACATTCATTATTAGTCATATCTTTATTGGGAGAAGATAAAGATACTGTCAGTAAAATTATGGAATATGTAAAACCTTATTCTTCATAATACTTCTAGGTAACATGTGTTAAGGAATCTCTCTCTCTCTCTCTCTCTCTCTCTCTCTCTCTCTCTCCGCATGAAGGAAAAAGGTGTCTGCCTCAAGGATATAATGGATTAGGCAGTACAGAAACTACAACAAGATTAAATGCAGCTGTTGTTGGAAAGGTTTTTTTAGTATGAAAGCATATGAAAGATCCATGAAGTAAGCCATTTGATGGAAATGATTTTAAGAGGATGTTGGTTCTATACTGGAGGCCTGGTAGTCTTTTGTATATTATTAAACACACAACCTTGCAGTTCAAAAGCATGCAAATGCAAGTAGATAAAAAGCTACCACTTCGGTGCGCAGGTAACAGCGTTCCGTGCACTTCGGAGTTTAGTCATGCTGGCCACATAACCACGGAGACTGTCTGCAGACAAATGCTGGCTCCCTCCGCTCGGAAACAGAGATGAGCACCGCCCCCTAGAGTCAGGCATGACTGGACTTAATGTCAAGGGGAAACCTTTACCTTTAAACACACAACCTGTGGCTCTTGAAGTACTGTGGATGACTATGTTTGTTTTGATTCGCATGACAATCAATACTTTTTGGGTACAGAATATTTTTGGTTATAGGATATTATTAATGACATTTGTATATCATATTGATATTGATCCATTTATAGTTATGAATATATGGCTTATTCTGTCCCATAGCAGTTGACAAGAAAAACTGGAAAGAGGCCATGGCAGGGTGTAAAATTGAAAGAACATTCAATGGAAAGAACTGTAAGTTTATTCAGACATACAGGAAATACACACCTATGTAGGCAGGCCCCAAAGAGACTACAAAGATGGAGTCTGTACAAAATGCTTTTATAAACGATCAATTACATAGTTCAGAGGAGGGATGGGGGATCATGGAGGCTGTTTGCTAGAGCCACAGGAGGGTAGAACATTAGGGCTGAATGTGATTTAGACACACAAAACAAATATAATCTTCAATCCAGGCAAATAATCCAGCATATCTAAGAGTGTACCCAGGAAGCAAGAATTGTAAGACATGGTAAGTTTAAAGCTCTTCTTACAGTGTCAGGCTTTTAGCGGCCATATTATGGCAGAGATTTCACTCATTTTGTCCTGACACAATAAAATCTTGTACTCAATTCAGAGGAGCTCCTTAATTCAAGAGGCTGATTAAGGAAAGTAACAACTTTTCAATTTGTTCTATGGATCAATACAATTGTACCAAGACAGTGAAAATAACAGAGGACAATGAAAAGATTAATGAATGCAAATAGAATAAGTTTGGAAATGGCAAAAAGCATTTGAACATAAATAAAATGTGAGGCAGCACCATCAAACGTGACTGCAACTGTCCTTAGAGAATTATGAGCATCTAATGGAATGCTAGAGGAGTGCAGAAACAAGGATTGCCTCCACACTCCTCTGACCTTCCAAAAATAGGGCATCTAAGTGTTTTACCTCTGATTGTAAGGAAGAGGGCAGGTGGAGGGGGCTGAGGCTTCAAAGTTGCACTTGCAAGCCTGGAGCCACAGCCAACACCAGAAGGGACCATGCTGGCTGCAAAAGTGGAGAGAGGAATTCTCTAAATTCAGAATTTAGAGGTTTTTTCCCTGAGATTGGAAGTGGAACGCCAAATTTTTTTTGACGCCTAGATAAGTGTGCACTTCAATAAATAGGAAAACATTCTGCGTGTAGACAATCCTATCAGGTTGTAGTACCTTTATTTTTCACAGTAAAAATCAAGCGGTCTCTCAGCTCCTTTTATTGATCATCATGCAGCAAATTAACTAACTTCTGAGTTTTCATATGCTGTGTAGAATCTGTTAATTTAGCAATCTTTAGTCTTTCATTTTGCTTCTGGCTTCCAAAATGTTTTAGTAACACAGCTAATGCGTTCAACTGTGCAAAATACGTCTTTTTAAGTGTGGATCGAAAAAACCTCGGATATACTTAAACTAGTTCTTAAGTTGTAGCCATAATAGCGGTAAGGAAAGCCGCTAGGAGATTTGAATACTTAAAAGCCTACATTTTAGACTTAAATTATGCAAATCTGCTAAAAACGAATACAGTTCTAACACTATTTCCATACAGAAAGCTAGCAAGCCCCAGCCCATCCGTCGCAGCCTGTAAAGGTATTTTTCCTCAACTGTACTACAGTTCCCAAGATGCATCGCGAGGCGAAGGAGAAAATGAAGTGGACGAGCGCTGTAGAACGGCTGTAGGAGGAACTCGCGCCTGCGCCAAGAGGATCCGGTGGCGCATTTGTCGCTCAGGCCGGCGAAGGGGCGTCTTAAGTGGCGGGCGGTGGTGACTTTAGACGCGGCTTCTTCGCTGAGACGGGCCAAGGGACGGCTGAGAGGGCTTGGATTAGACCGGTGAAGAAGTCGAGGCACGGTAGATCAGAGCCCTTCAAATTTATGCTTAAGGAGGGTCCCTTTCCGTCTCTTCCTTGCCGGAGCACTTGCCTGCCTGACTTCGCGTATCCTCCCTTAGCCTGGCAAAGGCGAGTGCGAGTGCGCGGGCGGGGAGGGTCGGTTTTTGCACTGAGGAGTGGCTGCTGTCCTCAGGCCTGCAGTGGGCAGAAAATAGATCTTCAAATGTTTTGGACTTAGCTCCCAGCGTTCCTGACTATTGGCCGTGCAGACAAGGGCTTCTGGAAGTTGAGGTCGAAAACATCTGGGGCTCTACCTTCTACCCATCCGTGTTCTACGTGGATCTTGCCCATCCCGTAGATAATGTTGGATTATAATTCTTGTCATTCCAGGCTGGCTGTGCTGACTAGGAATTATGAAAGTTGCAATCCAGTGCAGCAGGGGCCCTAGGTTGCAGAAGAGTGTTAGAGGGTTTGTTTGTATCCATAACCTGTAAATTGCTCAGAGCCTATGGGAATGGGGCAGTATATGGAAATTAAATACATGAAAATAGCTATATGCTCAGAATCCCATTATTGAGTACCTTTTTCTGTTATGGATCATTGATCTAACACCTCCCCCCCCCCACACACACACACACTGCTGCTGCACACAGTTATTAATGAATTGCATAATTGCAGTATAGGAAGGATAGATGAACTGATGCCCTCCAATGTTTTGGCTACAGATCCCAGCAGCCCTCACCAGCATAGTGATCAGAGATTGTAGAAATTGTAGTCCAGAATGCTTGGGCAGTATCCATTTGTCTAATCTTTTATGTACTTAACTGTAATACAAATGTCATAATTAGTAATATTGCAGTGTCTAGCAGATAAAGTTGGGGAATTGCCTCCCAAAGCTATGGCTGCTTGGTCAGTGATGGCTGGGGAGATAAAGAGCAGGGCAGCTTTGATGGTAGGCAGAGCCATTAGCAAAAATAGACAAACATTCTCATTCATTCCCTCACACATGTGGGGGAGGGGAGCAGCGTTTTGAACTCTAGGAAAAACAGGATGGAAAATTTAGCAATTTAACAGAGATTGGGTTTGACTATTAAACATGCTGATATAGTAACTTATCAAAACCCTATTTTCATTCCCTAGATCTTTAAAGAAGTGCCTTGAAGTTCTGTTTCTCTTGATGACTAACAACATTCCTCTTGATGCAGTTGGTAGAAGAATCCTTTGCAATGGAGATGTTGGAACAGTTCTCTATGTCGGCAGTGTTCCTCCTACTACAGGTAGAAAGAATATTTTCATGTCATCACATACCATTCCTACTTTCTTTGACTTGCCATTCAACAAAGCATGAAATTAATTTTGCATTGTTTCCTGAGGGTCCCTGTGCATGACTTTGAAAGGAGTTGCAAGCCCAGTGACTTATGGCACTTGTTTTGCTTCATATAAAATGTATAAAATGATACAAGCAGAATTTTTTCCATTTTGAATCTTGCATTTGTAAAACAGTGACTTTAATTGCCTTAGGAATTTGGCTTGGAGTGGAATGGGATAACCCTCAAAGAGGAAAACATAATGGAAGTCATGAAGGAATACAATATTTCAAATGTAGGTGAGTTAATCTTGAAATACACAGTATTTTTGAGCAATTAGATGAAGATGGGTAGGGAGAAGAGAAGGAATTAGGAAAAAATGAACTTGTAATAAGCTATAATTTAACTTTGAATCTTGGTGTCATGTTTATATGGCAACTTTATTTATTGGTTTTATAATTCAGGTGTGCTGTTCTTAAGACAGAGCTACAACAACTGTGTAGCTGGTAGAATCTCACACACTCATCAGCAGCTCAGTTGAACAGTGGAATGAAATGCACTGTCCTAGGATTGGGTTTATTATCTCTGGAAGAGGACAAAACCTGTTCCAACTGCAGCAGTCACTTTCTAGAATTGCTGCTTTCCCACCATTAGTAGTAGCAGAGAGTCAGTGATTTTGTGGTGGCCCATGCAGGATGGGAGACACTTTCATGTGTACTACCTTCCAGCAGCCACTGTCCCTCAGATTCAGGGATAAAAGGGTTGCTAAATACCAGCAATATATACACACTCAGTCCCTTAGCTGACACCAGAGGTAGCAGCCCCCAAGGCCAAAAATGTTGTGCTCCCATGCTTTAAGTGATGTGTCTCAATCTGATCTAATGTCTCATTGCTGCTGAACAAGAGTAATTCATATGGTATTGCACAGTTCTAGGAAAAACAAGAGCAGGAGAAAACATGAGCTAACTTCCACTGCTACTGCCACCACCACTGTCTGCAAAAGACATCGTTAGCTCCCATCCCAAAGGAAAGCGTAAGGACCACAACTACCAACTCACTCCTGGTTTCACTTGTAAAGGGTGGGAAGTGGGTACTTAATTCAAATTCTATAAAAGAGTCCACTAGCTAAACATCTGTATTTCCTCATAAGCACAGCTTATTTCTTTTGGGAAATTGGGAGAGTCACTATGACTTCCTGTAGTTTCCACCCATTTTATCTACTTAATCCTGTTTAGATCTTGCCTTGACCTTCACAGACCTGTATACAAATCCTTGTGCACTCTCAGCCTGTAGTGTGGAGATGATAATACTGATACTTCGTGGGCTGTTGTGTGTATTATTGAGGAACTATGTGAAGCACAACACGCTACAACAATATACTTAATGATTATAGTTTAGCTCATCTTTCCACCAGAAACTTAAAGTGGCTTGCATAACTTAGATACAAAAATGTAATAGAAAATCTCAAAAAGAACCCTCTCCCAAAAAGTTTCTAAGTTAAAGGATTCACTTATTAGCTGTATCCTCTTTGTAGGCACTCCACAGGTGGGTCCTTTATCCGTCCAAACAAAGCACATTTTGGAGTAGATTTTCTTTCTGCTGTCAAGGAGAAGTATGGAGCAAATGAAGATGATCAAGATGTTGAACATGGAACAGAAACATTGTTAGTTTTTAGAAAGAAGGCTGTGGAAACTGTTGGATTCAATTCCGTTAAAGAGAAACAAAAGCAAGTATGCTTCCTTTGCAAATGAATGACTTCAGAACCTTGAATATGTTTTGGTGCTCTACTCACATTTATTGTTGTCCATGTATACTCCACTTTAAAAAAGTATATGCAGTTGCCAAACAGTAAGTCTTTTGCATATTTGGAAGGAAATCGGTTCAGCTGAAGCTCAGAAGTTGCACTGAGTTCAGTGTAGTTTGCTCCTCAGTAAATTTGCACAGAAGTTTAATATCATGACAAAATCATGCAGTCTCCAGATCTGGCTGATCATTTTAAATGAAAACGTGAATTCATTTTTCACCTCTGCAGCCCCTGCCTAAGTGCGAATCTTGTGCCCTGTTTCTTTCTTCTTATTTCTCAAATTTGCCCCTATCAGTTGCTAGCAAACATGAGAGAGTAGAAGAGTGCTGTTACACTCAGGATCCTGCTTGCAGAATTTCTACAGGCTATGGGTTGGCTGCTGTGTGAACAGAATGCTGGACTAGATGGACCCTTGGTTTAATCAGGCATGGTTGTTATGTCCTTTTTTAACCTCTAGAATGCAATATCTTCAAAATTTCTCTTTCACTAGAAGTAATGGGGTGAGCCAGTTCTTTATTTTAGGAAATCTGCTGCCTCTTGACCTTGGGCAGGATCAGCTCATAAGGAGTCATTACTTCTCCCAAACTGACCCAGTTCCTTTAGCAGCAGACAGCTTCTCAGCAGATCTCTGGTCAGAAGACCTCAATTAGTGGTTTGTTTTTGAAGAATTTTTTCTTTGTCTTAGAGGAGTGGATTGGGAGGGAAAGTTTTAATGCTAGGCTTTTGTCCTTTTGCTTTAAGGTTTCCTGTTTTCCTAGAGATGTCGCATGCTGTGTCATCTCCCCTCTAGAGGCAGTGGCTTACGTCTGATCACTTCTTTTCAGGAAAGTGGAATGGTGGGCCCAGGCCCCTGTATGTGGTAGTGAAAGCTTACTTCTCTGCCACCATCATATTCCCGCAGAATAGACTAACAGTACTATTTTCATCTTGCACAGTGTTTTTCTGAAAAGAAGTCTGAGCAGTCAGTGGCTAACTGTTCTTTTTGCGGGTAAAATTGCTCAGATCTGTCTTGATTTGGAAGTCAAAATTGGGGCAAGTCAGATTGATCGAACTTTGTAAACTGCTTTCCCAGTTTGAGATTATTTCCATCTTGTAGTCTCAGATATGGAAAGGATGACTGGAACAGTGAGGGCTGCCACCTATTTTCGCACCCTTGTCCAAGTAAATCAGCCAAGATGAGACTGAAGCGATGGTTAAGGGAGAGGATTAATGGCTTTTTACTCCCTCTTTATTTCCTTTTGCTCAAAAGTTGGACTAATATGACCTCCTTTGTCTTAGTAGATTGACCTAATCATTAAGCCAGGTTCAAATCTACCATTCTTGATCATGATGATGGAGAAGGTGATGGCATTGTAGCTTCAGATGTGTGTGGATGGTACTGCTGAAGTGGACCCATATTTCTTCTATTATGTTTTTAATGTATTTGTTTTTATGCTATGCTTTAATTATGATTTTAATTTTATTATTAATTGAATTGTTATCGCTGCTTTGTTTTGTTTTGTTTTGCTGATCCTTGGGGATTAGGTTTCAACCTGTTCTGGAAGGGGTTGTACTCAGCCCCCTGGGAAAAAAAATAGATCTATGGCTTGTTAGTACTTATTCTACACATCCCTGGATCTTCAGGTTGTAGCCAGTTGCAAAGAATATGTTTGCACAGTTATGATTTGTGTGCAAATTGCAACTTTTCCTTATTTGGTGTGATTTGTCAAAATTTAGCCATGCATTGGTAATACCATGCTTAGATTATAGCAATGTGCCTTACAGAATATACTTGAAAAGATGTCAGTTCCTGCAAAATCTAGCAGCAGGCTGCTGACTGGTACACAGAATCAAGGCCCTATTACATAATTGTTGAGAGATTTACAGTGTTTGCTCGTTTCGGTGGGCTCTATTCAAGGTGTTGGTTTAATCTTTAAAGTCATAAAAAGTCCAGGGTAAAGTCCAATTATTATGATCTGCAGAAAAGCCTACATGAAGCCCATTTGTCTAGTACTAAAAAGGGCTTTCTTCAGTGATGCTACCAAATCATGGTATGCCTTTCTGCAGAATTACAGGGGAATTTCTTGGCAGGGTGTTAAAATATACTTCACAAAATTAAAACTATTGATACAATATAATTGATATATGGGGTAAATTAGCACCTAAGAAAAAGATTATACATATTACTCTTACAGTATAAAATGTATGTGAGAATATATTACATACTAGTTTTTCAGCATATGGCCCAAATTATATGATCATCCAAATAGGTTCTATTATAGTAGGGATTCCCCCCAGTGCATACAGCCTTTTGTGGTGCTTCTAGAAGCTGGGTCCTTGGCTCCAGGCCCCACCTTCTATCAGTATTCCTTCACAGGCCTTATCTCTGCAGAAAACTCACTGTTATTTCCAATGTAATTTCCAAAATTAGTGATGGCTATAAGGGTGGAAGGCAGTGGGTGTGGAGATTTGCCTGCCCAGGGGAAATGACTGCAGTTTCCCATGCAGGTTGTTCCCACTGTTCCTCATCCCCGTTATTTTGTATCTGAGATAATAGCAGAGATGCAAGGCAGCCAGCCTTGCTCTGGATCCCTTTATCTGTGCTTCATCCCTGCTTTAGTTTCAGCAGCAAAAAAGATGGACAGAAACTTGCAAATACATGTGGAGCAACACATGATTCATTTCATAAGTAAGCATTGTCCAAACCAACTTAAAGGTGGTGGACCATTATCACTAAATGAACTGTTTCACATAATCACTCTGGGTTAAAGAAGCCATGGTGGCTTGTTTAAGCCATGATGCATGCAGGCACAATTTGCCCAACACAGCTTTTTGCATTATCCAAACTCTCTGGCATTACAGGCTGGAGGAGAAACAACTCACAAAGAACCCCAAAACAGCCACTGAAATAGACTGCAGAATTTCTTTTGTCTTATTTGTAATGGAAAATTGGAAAAAATGCTATATGTAGAAGTGATTCTAGTGTCTGTTCTGAAAGTCCCACTATTCAGCTTCACTTAGGTTCTAGACACACACTGGCTTCCCAGAGATGTGCTGGTCAGAACAGTTCTCTCTGATGATATGCGGGGTCTGATTATTAATCATAAGGCTTCTGTCTCCTGGCCACTTACGTATTGCAATCAAGATTTTTCTGTGCCTGTTAGCCCAGAATTGTATATTAATTTCTTTCACAATTGGTAGCTTATTAGTATTATGAGAGCCAGTGTGATGTAGTGGTTAAGAACATGGGACTGGGACTCAGGAGATCTGAATTCTAGTTCCCATTCAGCCATGGAGCCAACTGGGTGACTTTGACTAGCCATTATTGCTTTCTGGCTAATTTTACACTCTTTCCTGCTTTGATTATTTTGCATTAGTTTGATCTTCTACAATATCCGGACTTCTCTATTATTTTGTGCTATTTTCAATGGCTTCTCTTTATATGATCCCAGTAATCAAAGCATAATTATACTTCTTTAAAAGACCTTTTAGACATACTATTCTCAAGAATAATTATACTATTTCATTAATTTTTAAAATGTCTGTTAGATTTGCATGTCCCTTTTGCTTTTGCATGTTGTATCCTAATGAGATACTTTTCTTGTAGGCAGCTGAATACTTTGAGTGATATCTCAGTAGATGAATGTGCAGTAAGTCTTGCAGGTCAAGATGGAGAAATCAGAAGAACATGCCCCAGTATCCTTTTTTTAAAAATCCTGCTAAATTATATGTTGTTAGTTCTTACAAGTACTTTTAAATGTAGAAGCTTATCATGAGAGCCCTAGCCACAATATTAACCCATGGCAAAGGTTTTGAATTCCAGGTTGTTTTGATGTAGGAATCAAGTTCTGCTAACAAGCCTTGGTTTAGTAACCATGAACAATCCAGAAAGGGAATGCATAGTGCCACAAAAGAATTTGGGTACAGTGAGGGAGCAGCTAAAGGAGGAGAGAAACAAAAAACTCAGTGATTAAGAAAACAAACCCTGGTTTGTTTGATCATCATTTAGAAAACCCTGAATAGACTAGCTGACAGCAGATTAAGTAAACAAATGCTTAGCATCATGTATGAACCTGTGGTTCTGACTACAAGGGTTTGCATGTGACTAGGAACACAGGTGACTCACCTCTAAACAAGTATTGCAACCTAAGCCCACACAACTTACCAGCTTTCTCATTTCAGCAGCTGAAATGGCTATTCAGTATGGCTACTCATAAAAGAAACTACACTGAATGATGGAGGACGAAGGAGAAGTGAAAGGGACAAGATTCTTGCTGATTTTGTCCCATGCATTTAATGATGATGTTGTTAGTCACGAAGTCGTGTCTGACCCATTGCGACCCCATGGACAACATTCCTCCAGGCCTTCCTGTCCTCCACCATCCCCCAGAGTCCATTTAAGCTCACACCAACTGCTTCAGTGACTCTGTCTAGCCACCTCATCCTCTGCCATCCCCTTTTTCTTTTGCCATCTATTGTTCCCAGCATTAATGTATTTAATAGTTTAATGGATTTCATTGCAATATTTAAATTTGTTAAATAAATTTATTTAAACCCCAGATCCCCAGAAAGTAGCCAGGAGGAAGAACTAGAACGCTTGAGGAGCAGGATGTATGTTTCCTGCTATAAAAGCCTTCTTCCTCCAATGTGTCCTGAACATCCAAGGATGCTGGTCTTGAAGGCTCCCAACTGCTTCCTAGGATGCTCTGAGAAGAGGACTCCAGTAACCATAGATCTTTTTTTTAGAGCATGTCTCCATTTTTCTGCCCCACCCCCCACAAGTTCAAAGTTAGAGTGTGGGATATCAGGTTCCTTCCACAAGAGAGTGGATTAGAAGGGGGAGAAAAGCTAGGAGCCAAGATTTTTGGATGGCTGTGTGCTTTAAGAAGTGAACGTTCAGGGACAAAGTATAGTGAAGGGCAGCAAAAATGATCAAGGGATTGGAGCAACTTCCTTAGAGGAGTGGCTACAATAACTAGGACTGTTTAGCTAAGGAAAAAATAGTAAGAGGAAACATGATACAGAATTCAAAATAATATGTGGGGATGGAGAATGTGGTGGCAGGAAGTATTTTTTCACACAACACACAGTTAAACTGTGGAGTTTGCTGCCATGGGAACTGGTGATGGCCACCAATTTGGTTGTCTTTAAGAGGAAATTGGACAAAGGCATGGAGGAGGATGCTATCAGTGGCTACTAGCCTTGCTGGCTGTGTGCTTTACTAGAAGCAGTGTGCTTGCGTACATCAGTTACTGAGGAGCTTTGGCAGGAAGAGGCTTTTATGTTGCATTTATTTGATCAAAGAAGGTACCAAGCCTCTTAAATGTTGGGCTTAATGTGTGTGTGTGTGTGTGTGTGTGTGTGTGTGAGAGAGAGAGAGAGAGAGAGAGAGAGAGGGAGGGAGGGAGGGAGGGAGGGAGGGAGGGAGGGAGAGAGAAGTATGTTAGTGAGTGCATGTGTGCAGTTCTCATAACCCCAGCAGACACTCAATCAGGCTGCAAGGGCAAAATGCCCCTGAGCTATTGGAAAAGAGTATAACTGACTTAGATTCTGTTTACTACTTGTTTGGGTATGTAAAAAAAATGAGCTTGAGAAATCTATCTGTTTGTTCATGGTGCTAGAATTGCATTTGGCTATGGAAATAAAAAGATGTGCCATCAATAAGGGAATGAATGTTGATAGAATTAATGTTTATATTGAAGCTCACAAATATTAGAATTAAAGAGTGTGCACAGAGACATAAAATTACATTTAAATTCTATGTTTTTGTTATGGACAAGAAAGTCATAACTTAGTATTTATGCCTGGAAATGATACATTTAATGCAGATAATCATGTGCAGGTTGCTACTTTTTGGACTCGGGTTATAAAATTTGGATATATTTTTCCTAACCGAAATACTCAGACATCACACGAATAGATCTATCAAAAAATCTTTTGTCATCTTGGAAAGAGGTAGTAGCTATTGCTTGCCAACTTGAAAAACTAGAAACTCTTAATCTCAGGTATTTACAAATATTTTATAACATTTTAGTTGGGTCTTGAGTTGTGCTCAGCGGATGTTTCCAGATCTCTGCCCATTCCTCCCCATCGCCCATGCCCCTTGAAAAGCTGTATCAGGGTGTGTGGGGACCCTTGGATACTGCAAGATGATGCCAGGGAAATCTGCAAACTTTCCTTCCCTATTTCCTTCCTCAAGCTATTCTGAGAACAGAAAGTGCTTTCCTATTTGTGGGATGCGAGCCTATCTTTACCTCTTTCCTCAGATACTTTTAAAAGCCAAGAAAAGTAATGCTATTTTTGTTAATAGGGACTTGCATATAGGCTCTGCTATGTCCAGAGTACTTTTCACATCTGATTCTCAGGTACAATAACATGGTTTTCAAATATTGGTTCTTTAAATTATGATTCTCATATTGGAAAACAATATGCAGATGATTTTTTAAGCTAAGTGTTACAGCTGCACAGGAAGCAGGGTCCTTTAAAAGTTTTCTAATGCTGCTATATAAAGAGTTACATACCTTAAGACTAACTATAGTTATCAAATCCATGTTGACAGTAATGTGGAACCAACATGAAAACGTTCATATGGGTGGAATACAGAAGTTGGGCTGTTGCTGTGGCTTCACTGTTACTAGAAAATATTAGGTCTGTGCACCTAAGATTCTAAACAAGGGATGTCTAATGCAGTACATTAAAAAATATATTATTAGATCTCCCAGTGTTTCTGTTTTTCATTAAGTCACAACAGGGAGCTCTTGAAAGCAGTAGTGGTAGAGGAAGGGGTTGTTTTTTGTTTTTTAAACCTTTTCCCTGTGCTGTTTTTCTGCACCTAAATTGAAACAAACACAAGACATGCCAGTCTTGCTTTGACTTGGTGGACTGGGGAAAACATGGGCAGGAGTGTTAAATCAGGAGGCCATCACAAGGGAAAGGATTAAGCCCAGAGAGCATTGGCTAATAAGGATCGTTGAAACATAATAATGAAGGATGAAATAAACTGCTCTCATCTGTGTGAATGTGACAAAGTTTTAGTCAATTTGGAATTCCTTATAACTTCTCATTAATTAAAAATGGAAACATTAGAAGATACAATAATAGATACTTTCTGAGGTTTGGTTTTTAATTCAAGGCTTTAAATTCTAAGGTAGTACCTTACCACTAAGTATTACTTGCAAGTTTGTCAGTTTGTTGTGGCTGGAAATCTTTGACCATGCATAAAAATACTTTGGCTTAATCTTTTTTCTGAAATACAACATTTGCGCAAATGTGCTCAAAACACACCTGATTACTTTCATTCAAGGTTAATATATTTATATTAATATAAACAAGAAATAATTTACAAAAATGTAACAGAAGGGATGCAGAAGTCTTTGGGGAATCGCAGATTGTTAAGCAGAATCGGTTCCATTAATTAAAATGAGAACTGCTTTTCTGTTCTTGGCATAGTGACAACAAAATGAGATTTCCATCTACTCCACTGCCTGCTTCAACAGCGTTTTGCAAACTGAGGGTACTAGCGCTCAATCGAACAAGAGTGACATGGGCTGAGGTAATTCACTTTCATTTCTTGAATAGCTTGCAGTTATATGTTGATCATATAATCTTTTCCCCAGTTCTCAATTAAAATTGCTTAAAACAGCCATACCATCTCCATATTGACATCAGATCACCTTCGTTAATACTTTGCCCAGGCAAAATCAATGGGAGAAGACTATTAAAATGAATTAGTTGTAGTACCATAGCATACCATGAGGAAGGCTACTAGTACAAGATCATCAGCTTCCTTGTTCACATGATCAGGCAATTAAAAAAAAAAATCCTAGAACAGGCTATTGGTTATTTGAAGGTTGATCCCCTAAAACAAGCCAAACTGCTTAGATTTGGGCTATACGTCAAGCTGCATCAGGGCAGGTGATTAGAGAAGTGATGCCGAGCAAATGTCAGACATTAAATTAAGTCACCATGACTTATTTCAGTTTGGTAGACCAAGTCATTTTCATAACATAAATGGGATCTACATGAAATCATCTTAAGATTATGAGTTTGTTCACATGATCGCCATAGCCAACTTCCACAGTGGGTTGCACTGCCCCCTTTTGAATATTCAAGACATGGCAGGCAGATGCCGTAACTTGTATCATGTGAACCTGAGGAAGAGGGCTTATGCGAGAGTTTAAAAACCTAGGTGCTATTTTAAGGTTTAACACTCATATAGGCCACATGCACCAGGTTCACATGACAGGATAAGTCAGTCATGTACCACCTACTGTAACTTGAATATTCATAAGGCTGGTCAGCACACAACACCAAGTCATGGTGGGCCAAAGTGATTGTGTGTACATGATCTGTGACTCACTCATCTGGCTTGCACATAAGGGTAGTTCATGATTTATCTAATCCATGAAATACCAGGGTGCAGCATGATTGGGCATGCTGCATTCTGTACTCCCAGCACTTCCATTTGACATCCAACCTCATAAACTACCTAGGAATGCCTTGGCACTGTATGTGGGTTGAATCAGAAATCTGGGTGATTTAAACCTAAACAAGAAACCATGGTAACTTAAAACACTGTTTGACGTAACCCTAAAAAGCCCAGAGTGCCGAATTTGCATTATATTACACTTACTTTATCCAATTACAACTACAAGGGGTGTTCCTGGGTTGTTTACAAAGCCTGATGTAAAGTGGGAAAAGTAAGTACACAGGAAGCATAGCTCATGATGAGTTACTAATGTATAGTTTATGTGCAACCAGGATTATAGAGTAATTTGGATTGCTAGATTCAAATTATAATATATATTTAAGGCATTTCTTATCCAGCTGTGATTCTAAATGTAATGCTTATACATTCTTCAGTTAAACTGATTATTTTAAAATTGTATTTATTCCACTTACAAATGTTATGTGTTTACTTAAGTGGTTTCTTTTATGCTATTTTAACATTGGCTTATGTTAAATGGATTTTTGTAAGAACCTAAGCTAGTCTTCCTCAACCTGGTGCCCTCCAGATGTTTAGAAGTACAATTCTCATCAGCCCCTGGGCAGCAAGGCCAATGGACAGGGATGGTGGAACTTGCAGGGAAAAACATCTTGTGGCTTCCAAGCTTGGAATGCTGAACTTACTTTATTTTATTTGAAAGTAAGTTCCAGTGATGTTAATAATATGTCAATAAATTTGTTTAGGACCAAGATGACTGTTCTTTAAAATATTTTATATTTAAATTTTAATATTTACACATTAAAACAGATATCCTTGAAGTATTGGTTAGACTGTTGGCTTAAGCAAGATAATGAATTGATGCATATGCAACTAGCAGAAGCTGACTTCCCTACCCCTAGCAGATGCCCCACTCTCTGAAGCAGCTCCTCTTCTGTGCCTTGAGCTATAGCATGGAAGACTAAGTGGGGAATCTCCAGAGATCAGGTGGAGACCTCTAGCCCTTGAACAGGGCTGGTGGGAGGAGGAGGGGGTACAAAGGCCTGCCTCTGTCAGACCCACTGTGTCTGCATTTATCTCAAGATAACCAATTATTGTCTGTTGAAGAAATCTTAGGTCTTTACACTGGTACTTGCCTTGGCAATATGAAGGTTTAAGAATCTCAAATTTGAAATACAGCTAGCACATTTACATAATAGTAACTCTCTGGGCGGCACACAGCAAATTAAACACAAATGTAGGTTTTGTAGCTTATAATTAAGCTTTGAAGGAAATTTAATTTCTGTTGAGAGACTGTTACACTATGAGTACCAGTGAAAGGCTCTTTGCTGTGCAAAAAAAAAAAAAAGCGGGGAAGCTGAGATAGAATAATTTTTAATTGATAATACTTATCAGTCATCCAATATCCTTCATCCTCTGGGAGACATACAAAAATTAATAATTTTAATAGCAACTGATAGCAAATCTATGTAAATAAAATTCAGTATAGCAGCCTTACAATTAAGCCATCCATTTACAGTGGAGAAGATTAAACATTGACCATTTTCTTGCATGAAAGAAGAAAATGGAAGGTTAAACCCTGTACTTGGCCAGATTGCTCTACTGGACAGTAGCAGGCAACTTGCAGACAAGACATTGAGGTTGGGGAGGAACTTCCCCAGTCCTTCAGCTAAGATCTGGATTAGCTCTGAGTGTTCATGGAATTGGTAATGCTGCTGTTTTGCTTTCATGTGTGCTATCCAGGTATAAGATTTGCAACTGGTGTATTAAATGTTGTTTTCCTATTAGGTTCTTTTGTGTGCTGCAGGATGGCCAGCTCTTGAAGAACTATCTCTTGCTTCTAATGATATTTCTCTTTTAGAAAGGTATGAGTTGCAAATGCACTAGCCAGTATTTTGTAATGGTTGGTTGAACATCCTGTGTTGTTTTAGTTATCATGTCATGTTGACAATTATGCAAGATGCCAATATGTTCAAGTGTGAACATTAGATAGGCCCATGCACACACAAAATTTGTACCCCACCTTTCCCTTAAAAAGAGTGCTTAACAAAGATTAGAAGTTAGCAAATAAAAGCATATCCAATAAACAAAAATGCATCAACAGTAGATAATATTTTTGTATGACTCTTGTTTTGTCCATGTAAATAGCAGTGCAAGTAAGTGAAACTTCCCTACTTTTAAAAAATGCTGTGACTGCTTAGTTAGCCAGTAAAAGGCTGTTTCATAATAAAGTGGTAGTTCAGCTGTGACAACAACTGTTGGCTTGGTGGTCATGACCAACCCTTTGGCAAACCAGTCTGGCTTGAGGTAAACAGGTCTGTCCCCAACACGTGTCAAAAGCAGAACTTGCCACTGAGGAGTAGGGGACAAGTGGAAAAGGAGTACTCAGGGTTGAAGCTTTAGAGCATTCATTCATACTTCATGGCCCTTTTGGCAGTACGTCTGGAACCACTTTATTGCTTGTTTGATTAAAAAACAAGCAGTTGAGTAGCCAAACATTATCACATTGGATCAATAACCTATAATCATCACTGCACAAAGGAATAGCAAAACACTTAAGAGGACAAAAGGAAGAGAGCATATGTTTAAAAACTGCAGTTACAGGTTCATCAAGCAAAAACTGTGTTCAATATTTAACCTTTACCTTTCCAATGCAAAGTGTGACATTTTTGTTCATGGGATGATATATTTATTTTGTCCTAGAGTTGTTATGGCATATTAAAAAGAGGGGAAGCTGAGATGAGGAAGCGTGCGCGCGCGTGCGCGCGCTCTCTCTCTCTCTCTCTCTCTCTCTCTCTCACACACACACACACACACTGTACTTTTAACTAAAGACATGTAAAACTATTTTTAATAAAATAATATTTATTAGAATTGCTAGCTAAGAAAAATACACTTTTAAAATTTGACATTAATAAGAATCCAAATCTCAGCACATCAGCTGGAAGAAAGACAAAGGGACTGACCTAAAGACAGTAATAATCATGAGTCTATTGGCTGGTAAGGTGCATTTTACAAAGCATCATCTAGCACTTTACATTTTTCACTTGTTTCCCTGTTGCAGGAAGCTAGTTTTCTTGGGCAGTGGAAACAGCACCCAGTCTTGAGTCCTGTGCTACATTACATTCTTCAGTCATGTAGGATAGACTAGCACACTTCCTGCTGCTCTGTGCTTGTGTGAGGCATCCAGAATTCTCATTCTTACAACTATGGGAAAGAGCAAGCACCTTTGGAAACGCCTGATTCCATTCTGAATTGTTGGGCAGCAACAACAAAACTGGCAAATGTATTGCTGGAAAACTGTGCCAGTGGCCATCTGTTGGTCTTTAGTCTGTAGCTATATGTTCTCAGTAGGTGGTCTAGGTTGTCAACTCAACCTCTTTGTAAAAAAAAAAAGCATTGCAACAAAAACAGCTGAGTTAGATTGGCTGGGATAGAAATTGCCCTAACCCAAAACTGTGATTGGTTCAAGGATGGTTTTGGCTGGGTGCAGTGGCAGCAGGCAACAGTAGTTAAAAACAAATCCAGTTGCTCTTGCCAGTATCATAACGGCATTTCGGTTACTGGCAGGGAGCAAGCAAAGGAGGAGTGAGGAAAACAGCCCAAGGATTAGAAAAAGAAACCAAATTTGGTTTAGTGGTCTGCCAGAAAAACCCAAAATAGGTCAACACTGAGTTAAATAAACCATGGGTTAGTGTTATGAGCAAACCAAGTGAGTCACAGAGTATTTCATTCTGCCTTCAAGAGCTAGTAAGATTAGGTGGTGTTTCAGTTCTTTATCAAGCACAAATGAATGAAGATTGTGGTCTGTGATCATTAAGCTGTACTGTGCAGCAACTACAACGTCCACATAATACAAGGTGCTGAAACATGATGATCAGAAAATCAATGAATGAGACAGTAGTTTATGTTAGAGTATAGCTAAGGGATAAACATTTCCTTTTTAGGTTTTTATTGTGAAGCATTTATAATACTTTTTAACCCTTTTTTTAAAAAAAATGGTCTTAAATACAGCATTTCTCCCCTTATACACCAGACCTGTTGATGTTCTGCAAAACCTGAAATGGTTAGATCTTTCATACAACCATCTAGATGAAAGTCAACTTCATCTGATTGCAGATCTTCCCAGGTATTCAAGTATACAGTTGTACTGCTAATATTCTTGCCCATGTAACACAGCATAGTAAAGGCAGCAAGGAGAATTTATGCTAAAGAATGGCTGAGAGGTGGGTAGTACACAAATCTGCAACCATATCCTTGGCCATGGAAGCATGGCATGCTGTGTACCAGGTCTACATAAAGATGCAGTAAGTTGCTTTCTGCAAAGCGGTTTCAATCAGTACTTCAAAGAACTGGTGTAGAGCTCTACTATAAAACTTCGATCAGTGGCACTTCCCATTTTGCGGACCTTTAATATGTAATGCTGCATTTCTGCTCTTACATTGGAATAAGTTCAATGGAATGAGCTGCTAGTTTGCAATTGTTAATAATTTTCTCTTTTCTTTTTTTGTAAATAATGTTACGAAAGTTCAAGTAAGATAGTGTGTACTGTGTATAAAAAGTCAATAAAGGCAAACTAGAAATTATACAAGGCACAAACTCCATTAAATATTTGTTACAACTTACATATTGTATTCCTCTCATGCCAGCCAAAATGGGGTTTGCACATACGGGCTTGAAGCACTTTTTGCTAAAGTTCTTTTTCAGATACTCTTTTCTTTGGTCAGGAAGTGTATTTGATACTATCTGCAGGTTCAAGTCATTTCTTGACTTCCCTTACTTTTTTCTTTGGAGGGTGGGGCAAAGGGTGCTGTACATTGTGTCTTTGCATAGAAGAGTTTTGCTTATTAGAATTGTGTTGCACTGTGCTTTGATTCACTAGATCATAATGCTTGCACTGATGATTTAGCACAAGGTGCTGCATATGAAACCTAAATTGTATCTCATATTTTAACAGCTGTACTCTGACTCTTAAATTTCAGGTTAGAAAGGCTAATACTTTTAAACAATGGAATTTCTTCTATATGTTTTCCTGATGCAGGATTTGGTATGTAAATTGAGTGATGCTACATTTTTCTATTTTAATTCTTTTTTAATTTTTTTATTGTTATTTTCATTGAAAAGTAGAATGTAAAAAAAGAGAAAGAATACCAAGGGGTCTTACACAAAGGGGGTTTACACAAATGTAGTATCAAGAAAATTTCTCAAAAACTCCATAATTGTTATCTCTTTACACTCAGTTGAATTAATTAGTAAATAAAACTCATACAACAATTTTTCTAATTTATAATATATAATGCTAACTTATTTTTCATTCCTTTAAAAATCATTTTAAATAACAACCAAGCATTTGTACTGGAATTATGACTAATTATATTTTACAAGCTCCATTAATAAGTAAATGGTATATAAGATTTCTGTTTATAATTAGATTCTTTATTAAATTAAATTATGTAACTAGTTTTGCCATTACTGCATATTCAGCAAGTTTATTTTTCTTCAGTTGGGTAGTCTTCTGTGTTCCATTTTTAATGCAATTATAACTCATGCTGCTGTTATCATTTATTTAAATAACTCTACCATATTCCTTGCCCATGTTTCCGGTACAATACTCACATTCTTAATATACATAGGAAAGTAAATTTTCAAAATTTTCTATATTTCTGCATTTATTTCTTTCCAAGATTTTAAAACTTTATTACATGTCCACCATATATGGTAAAAAACCTGCCCACTTCTTTACATTTCCAGCACTTTCCATTATATTTCTTATCTCAATATCTTTTGGTGTAATATACCAACAAGAAAACTACTTCTACCAATTTCATCTTAATGCTTGGCTAGCTGTGAATTTTATATTCTTCTTCCAGAAAGTTTCTCATTGATGGAAAGATATTTCTTCCACAAATGTTTGCATCCAACTTACCATATTTTAATTTCTTAAGTTTCAGTAACTTATTAGAGTAATTGCTTAGAAAGCCATCCTAACAGGTGTACTTTTTGCTGTGTAATCAACTTTTCAAATTCTGTCAGGTCTGTTATAATGCCTTTTCCTGTTTGAATTTCCTTTTTAATCTTGAAACTAATTGGTAGTAGGGAAGCAAGTCTGTATTTTTTCCTTCATCTTTTAGTTTGTGCCAATGATTGATTCCTCCTGGTTGATCAATCATATCTCCATAAATTATAAAATCATTGCTTTTGCTTAAATGCAATAATATGCATCTATTGGAGACATCAGAGGAAAAGTCGGGGGGGGGGCTAATTCTTTGCATTTTAATTCTTTAATGTCTCATCAGTTTATTCTTTTTGTAGGCTGCAAGACTAAAATGTTTCCTTCCATAACACATCTTGTATTAAATGGCAATAGAATTGCAGAAGTAAGTAAAATATCAGTGCCACGTGTGGGATTGTTAATAGAATGTGGATACTCTTGTATCTATAAACTTTATAGATTTATAAATTTGTAAACATATTTGTTTTATTTATAAACTTTGTATCACTAAACTTTTTGGACCCACTTGGCAATTTGAAAAATGTTCCTTGGTACTAATCCACTGAGAACTGGTGCAATGGTTAGAGTGTTGGACTTGGGAACTTTGGAAATCCAGGTTCTAGTCCCCACTCGTCCCTGAAGCTCACTAGGTAACTGGGCCAGTCACTCATTCTCAGCCTAACTTACTTCACAGGGTTGTTTGGAGGGATAAAATGGCATTATGTGAACCACTTTGGGTTTCTCACAAGAGGAAAAAATGACAGGGTACAAAGTGTGGTTGTGATGATGGTGGGAGAAATAGGCAGCTGTAATGGATAACTAATCTACCCATACAACTTGAGTACAAGGCAGAGGTGGAGTCTTAGCCCCATTTCATTAAAAAAAACCTAATTTGAACCCACTGATTTCTGTTCTAACAGAAACCTTTTTCACAGAAAGCAGAGTAAGGCTGCAGGGTCTCCATGAGAAGCAAGCCATCCTGGCTAGCTAGCCACAGTGGGTTCTTGTGTCATCTGGATCCAGAGTACTTCCTACAAGGTGGCTTGCTTTTGGGCAACAAGCCATGGGTTGTGAGTTGCTGGAGGCAGTGAGTGTAATGCAGAGTATAAAAGCAAACCGCCCTTGTCACTCTTTGCACTGTCAACTGTGTTGCCACTAGTGACCAAGCAGCACTTTGGAGCAACCAGCCCCCACTAGTTTGTTACTATTTAGCTGCAGGGAGAGGGGCACAGTTTTGATAGTAAGGGGGAGGTGCAGGTGCCTGAAATCCGGAGCCTTACCTGGCAAATGTCCCAGTAAATTATTATTTATTAAACTTGTTTAAAAGCCGCCCATTGGCATTATACTCTGTTAAAGTGTAGCAGCAACATCCATGGACATTGACAAGGCGGGGCTTCATGTGGGTTACTTTACACACACAATAGCTGGTAACAAGTTTATCTCCCCATTAACAGTGCAGTCTTTTCGTGTTTTACTATTGCCCTGACAATTAACAGCACCCTCCATCTTCACCCTTCCCTGAGTCTCTAGGTACGCTGGGAGATGTACATTCTACCCTCTGTGTGTGTGCATTTACTTTTGACAAGCTATCCTTTTTTTAAACCCATCTAGTAAATGATAGCCTTTTTGGATAGGAAAATATACACAGATGTCATGACTGTACAATCACTGGCTGCATAATGGGGCTCTAGGGAAAAAGTAACAGATCACAAACAAAAGGGGCTGTGGTTGGAGCAGGACAGGGGAATGGGGCCGCAAAAACGGGAGTCTCTTCTTCTCGGTGGCTGGATGCACTGGTAGCGGAAGCACCCATCTGCAGTCACCGGGTATCATTTCCAAAGAGCATCTCTGAGCCCCAGATGTGGCGTACAGGCATTCATGAGAAATTATGGCAGCAAACGGACCCCCCGCCCCCGGCTTGCCAAGAAGCAGTGCCAGCTGCTGTTTTTGTTTTGAGTAACTGGAGAGGGGGGAAAGTCCTCAAGGGAAACCAAGGAAGATCACCCAGGAGTATACTGGTGCCAGTTGCACTACTTCTGTCAACTCCAGTTCTATAAGGTGTTACAACCGTCGTCTTTTAAACTTACAATCAATTGAAATTGCAGGACGAGAACTATATCATGTTGGGTTAGGCCATTTGCTTAGAAGGCCTATGTGGCATAGCTTTTTCAAGTAGTTGACATGGTCACCGTTGCATCTTCTGAGTGATTTTTCTAGCACAGTCAATTTGGTATCCAGTTGTCCAGAATTAGGGGTGGCCATCTGGTATGAACATGACTCAGGGTTATCTTCCAAATCTTCCAAGATTTCAGCTTTTATTGTATATAGGTTTTTTCAGTAATGCTATGCTAATCCCATGCATTAGTACATTAGCTACTACTTAATGTAGTACAGACATTCTCAAACCTTCTGCCCCCAGGGCCTGCTTGACCTGAAAATGAATGATTCCTTCCAATCACAAAATGGTGGCAGATGGAAACAGAGTTTGGAATAATCTGTTGGCAATTCCAGATATGCTATTTTGCTATCTAACTGCTATTTGGAAATGGCTAACTTCGTTGCCACAGCAGTTTCCTTGTTGCAGGGAGTTCCATAATTCACCTTTCCACAAATTCAGTACAGTTAATCAAATGCTTTGCCTGGCTGGAGGGGAGGGGGCGGTGTTGGTGTTCAACAACTCTTATCACTGTTATCAGTAATAATTGATAATGGGCCTTGGTGATGAGGAAGATTCTGCCTGCTTTCTCTTTCCAGTGATAACAGGGATTACCAGCCTTTTGCCAAGCCCTCCCCCGCCCCCAAGCTTCCAGGTGTAGGCCTCCAAGGGAGTCAAGCCTTTGTTGACCAGATTAGGTCAGCAGGTTTCCCTCCCCAGCAGTACAGTGGGAAAGTTGTTTTGTTTTCTTTCCAATTTTGGTTGTTCAGTACCATGTTTTTCCATTTCCTTGTTTCAGTGGTCAGTTTTTAATGAACTTGATAAACTGCAAAGGCTTCAGTCATTGGATTGTCGGAACAACCCTGTGATGGATACAGAGGAGAACAGAGAGACTGTGAAACAGCTTATTATCGCTAAAATAGGCCAGCTAAAGTTTTTGAACAAGTCTGAGGTATGTAATTTTTTTCAGTCAGTAACACTAAGGAAGACATGAAGGGCAATGTTTTCTGAAACTTTTAGACCACAATAACATGGTGCAGAAGACTTCAGTGAGTTTTCCTGATCAACTAAAACGTGATCCCAAAGAACAGCCATAAAGAGTAAGGTTATGTTTTTTAACAGTGCTGCCGAGTACTTGTCAACTTGGATCACAGTCTTGGATGCTGGCAACCTGTCCCCAAAGCTATGTGTACTTTTTGACAGGGTGCCTGCACCAGTGTGGCAGTGAAGCAAGTGCTGCTTACTGAAAGCATACAACTTTGTTGCAGTTCTAGTCCAGTCATGCCACTACTCCATGCATTTCTGATTTGTGTGGCTATCAAACTTTGATTAAAGTGGGTAAAGTAGCCCATAAACCATCCTGTTGAAAACAGCAAATAGGATTGGCAATTGTTATACCTCATCCTAGACTTTATACTGTTGATGCTTAGAAATGGGACTTAAAATAAGAATGTAAGATGATAAGATGGCTTCCCATGATAAACAAGTAGTGTTCAAAGATACCTCAGATGAAAGTTAGCTTGACGTTGTTTTGTTTCTGTGAGAAGGCCAACTAATACACAGAAACCATCTCTGGGATTCAAAGAACTATTTTAAAAGAAGTCAAGGTTTTGAATGTGTCTATGCAATTTTGCCTTTTTTTCTTCTTCTGAGCCATATTCCAAACTGCTTTGAAAGACCCTTCAGCTTCAAAGAAAGTTTGCAATGTTGTTGACGGGGGGTGTTCTTTGAGAAATATGAATCCAAAACCTACTTAGGCAGGTGTGAAACTGGTTGCATGGCTCATTTGAATCCCAGGTTATAAACATGCACCAGTGTTGCTACTTCAATATCCTGATGTTCCAGACAGGATATGGCTAAACTGTGGGTTTCTATAATTAAAGGAATGTGGATACTCATCTGTTATTGCAGAGCAAGCAGAAGAGCCATTTGTAAACCTAAGAACTGGTGAGAACAAAAGAAGACATCAAAGAGGAAGCCAGGACTATGAATCATTCGTAATGGAGATAAAGCTGTTTTATATCATATATTTTTGCTAATGTAAAACTCCTGATGGAAATGGACTGAACCATTCCCGGTTGCTTAGATGAAAACCAGAAATGCCATAAGCACAAACATTTTCTGATCAAGATCAACATGATGTAAAAATCTTCATACCCATTTGGCTTTACATAAATTCATTTGGCTACTCTGATGATATTCACCAGAGCAATACATTCTTGTTTTGTCACAGATCTTTCCAGAAGAAAGAAAGGGAGCAGAACTTGATTATAGAAAGAAATATGGACTTGACTGGTTAAAGGCTGGTGGTAATCAGGATCCAAACAAAAACCATCCAAGTGAGGAATTCCTTGCTGCCCACCCCAGATTCCAGTTGTTATGTGAGAGTGAGTATAGCAGTAAAAGAAGGAAGGTCTGTTTTCCCACTCCTAGTATTTTTCTTGTTTCCACCTATTTGCTTGTGTTTCACAGATTAATTGGAAAAGGGAAATGTTAATTATCTGGTAGGTTTCAGCTAGCTTCCCAAACAACCAAAGCTAACTGTTTCCTTAAGTCTTATCAAGTAGCCAATTGAAACCCTTTATATTATTTGTAGTCTGTATGCAACTATCTATGGATATGCCTGCAGGGAATGTCAAAAAGTTAAACTATATAGGAGTGCCTGCCCTCCCCTTATTTGCCAGTATGAGAAATTAGGACATTGATCCAATAAATAAATTACTTACCTTTTCCGCTCCCTAACAGAATATGGTGCACCCGAAGATGGAGAGCTGAAAAAAGAACAGCCTTTCTCCCTAAAAAATCAGCTGCTGAGTAAGATATAAAATTGTACTTATTGATCTAGATACAATTTTTGTAGACGAATACAGTGAAATATTATGTAAATGTTTGTACTTGGGGCAGATGAAGTTTCCAAGATTAACCCAAGATGTGATTTTCTGTACATCCTAATAGACCATATACTATTGGTGACTTGTTTCCTTAGTTCCCAGCTACTCTAGAATTTAATTTTTAAAGATATCCCACGTAGTGTAACTTGTTAGTAAACACACATTTGTTAAGGAAACATCTTTAAGCCATTCCCTTAAATTTTGGTTTTCTGTGTTGGGAGTTGAGTAGAAATACTCAAAAGCTTTTTCACTTGCCACCAATTATTATATATTGCTTGCATTTGCATGCCACAACAACCTACTATAAGCTATGCAGTGCACAGCAACAGACATTCTGGCTCACTGTGGGTTGGCCCTTTAGTCCCAGTTGGCATTCTGTCTGCTTCTCACTTCTGCTTTTTCCCTCTTAAGCGTTGACATTTAAGTGTCCTGATAAACCTGAACAGAAGCCCATAGAGAAGAAGCTACCAGGTAAGCATAGGAATCAAAATTACATATATTTCTGCATGTCTAAATTGTTGTATAACATTCACATTTTCTGTAGTAAAATGGGTTAAGTTTTTGAGGCAGCAGTTTTTCTTGTCTTGGTGTTTTTAGTCAATAAATGTCTGTTTCTATTCAGATATTGGCATGTCTTTAAAGAGTGTTGTTTTGACACAGAGCAAGAAAAATCAATCACTCAGCATTCAGTGCTTTAAAATACTATGTGCTTAATTGGAAATCTTGGAATAAAACTAAATAAAATTATAGATGAGTAATTAATTTTGATCTGTATTTATGTTGACTTTTTGTATAGAAAATGCTAACACCACTTGTTCATAAACAGGCATCTGAAGTGCTTGCCAAGATGAGTCTTTATATTAAGCTCTTGCCAAAGGCCTAGTTCTCACTTAATTTGCAAACTTGGGTCTGAGCTGTTCCATTTCAAACTTCAAGTGAGGCTAATATAACTAAATGGTTGCACAGTAAAAAGAAATCCTGCATGTACAGAAGATTTCAAGCAGAAAGTTTCAGCTGTATATTGATATTGTTAGTTGCTTAGAGAATCCTGTCGGGCTATTGAGTGGCATATGCATTTGAAAATAAAACAAAAAGGATTTTTGCAGATATGTTACTTTAATTGAGAAATATGCTTCTGTTAATGGAGCTTGATGAGGCAGTCCTCACACACATAACAGAGAGGGACATTTAGGGAATCAATCTCTACTTCTCCCAGCTTAAGCATTCTTTTTGACAAGTGCAGAAAGAAGCTACTAACCCCCAACTCCATTCCTGGTCCCATCAGTCACATATGCCAGTTAGTAATTTACAAATTCAGGCAAAACTGACCTTGAGTGTTGTTCATCTGTGATGAATGTTACATTTATTCGATGGATGTAAGGCCCAGCATTTTCCATGCAGTTTCTGGTGAAAAGCACTATTTCTTCTGCTTTATAATTTGTGTTACTGCTATATATGATCTACATAATTGGAAAGTCTTAAGCCATTTGAACATTGTATTTTGAAAAGTATTTATTCTAAAATAAAAATCACATTTATCACAAGTTGCATAAAATGATACAGCTTTTTCAAAAAAGTTAATAGAAAAATATTTTTCTAAGTACATTTTGTGACAATAGAGGAATAACTCACTATTGCTGTGCCTTCAGATAAAGCTTTAAATGAAGTAGGGGAGAAATTACCAGGAGCTTGTATTGTCCAAATTTAGAATAGAGATTTTTAAAAACTAACTAACTCCTTCAAATCTTACTACAAAAATACACCTTCATATTCATATGTATTGGTTTATAATTCAAGTGCATAAAGCTAGTGGTAATCTGGAACTAAGTGGCATACACAGTTTTGGGGACTTCATAATATGAAGTCCTAGAATAACATTCATTTTCTCCGGGGAAAGGGCTTTGCTCCTGATGAGAAAGTACAAAAGGGCAAATGCCACAAACTAAGTCCTGAAGGTCACTTAGGTCAGTCACTGTGTTTTATACATAAACTGGAAAATTACCAATTTGGTTTATAGTTTTTAACTACTCTAATATCAGATTGAGGTGGTGCTAGTCATTGTTTCCTCAGAGCTGCACAGAACAGACTCAAACAAATCTATTATCAGTGTTTACTAGAACTTAAGTTGCTGTGATAAAAATGCATCAAATGGTAACAAATCATAGCCAAACAGTTTGTTCTCTCTCTCCCTCTCTCTGTTTGCAGATTCTATGACTATTCAAAAAGTCAAAGGATTGCTGTATCGGCTACTTAAAATCCCAGGTTCAGAACTGAAACTATCCTATGAGAGTTCTAAAGTAAGTCAAGTTCAGTAATGGAACAGTACATGAATTCAGAATACAACTTGCCACACTGCTAAAGTCAACACTGCGCTCTAACACTATTGAGTGAATTGATTCCTTAAAAAAAAGCAGTTGTACCATTATTTGGGGCATTGCTCATCTTCCTTTGAGTAATAGTGGCTTGATTATAATTTTTAGTCTTTTTAAAAAGGTATACAAGTCTAATGTCTACATGAATCTTTTCTTATCTTAGATGAAAGGCAAAGAATTTGAACTGGACAATAACTTAAAGCCCTTGCAATTCTACTCAATTGAAAATGAAGACTCCATTCTGGTACGATGGTAACAGCTGCCCTTAGCGAATCATTTGGAGAGTAGTTTTATGCCACTTAGCAGAGCCTCTACAATTAAGTCTATATGCTGATTTGTAACTTGTGTGGAAGACCCTTGATATAAAAAAGGAAAGCAATTTACTAGACAAGCTGCTAGATCCTGCACCTTTGTTAATAAATAATCTTCTTAAAACAGTGGCATGCCTCATTTTTTGAGAAGAGGAAAGCTTTAACCAACTTAATAAAACTATGCTTAATCCATGGTTTGTGCTGCACTGCTAACTTACAGAAGTCAGTTAAAAGCTGAGGTATTCTTATTGCCCATCTGCCCCAGTAGTCATACACTAGGAAAAAGCAGAAGATCACTTCACTAAGAGAACAAAAAAAAATCTATTATATGAAGAAAGGACATGCTCCCTTGGACCCTCCTACTGTTGGTTAAAAAGACAAAGATGTTGCTAATTTCTGCAGCATTCAACCCCTTCCTTTATAGTCAACTGTATGGCAGTACCTGGGGGTGGGGACAGTAGTGCAGTATCAGTTACTTCTCTCTTCTTGGATATGGAACACAAATTCAAATGTCCAACAGTAGCATAGCTCTAATTTCTCAAGTTTAAAGAAGATGCTGTATGTATCCTAACTGACCTCTAAAGCAATGCAGATTGGCCCAGAACTGCCCACTTAAACAATTTTTACAGTAGTATACTTGCCTTCCCTCACCTCTTACTCGTTCATACACTAAATGCACAAGGAATCAAATTTATCTACCTGTGTAGTTTACTAGTAAGGACAATTGCTTTGCATTAATATTTGGCTTTGTAAAACTACTCTGTGTATGTTCAAAGTGGAAAGTATCCTGTTTTTATGAAAAAGGATATGGAAACACTGCTCTAAGGGCTACTTCAAACAAGACAGATTACGTACATCTGTGAAGAATGTGTGAATTTCATATGTAGTTTGCCACCCATAGTCAAGGTACATACCTGTCTTGTTGCATGTAAGTGGTGGGTTAGGAGCACAAACATTTGTCACAAGCAACAAACTACAGGGGAGACTCGTGGGATTTCTTTTGTTAGAAGCTGCTTGGAGACTTTTGCCTTTTCTTCTCCAAAGCATGGCTGAGTATGCGGAAAGTTTTCCTATAGCATTGTTCATATGATGCTGTAAGTTCATGCTGTAAGCCTTTATCTTTCTTGACATTTGCAGGGATCTCCACAACGTTCCTTTATTCTCCAGAGGTCTGCAAGTTCTTCTGGAGAATATTGAGGAGAGGATAACATACCACTTTCACATGTCTTCTCACACAACCAGAGATTGTCCTGTTTGAAAGAGTTATTTCAATGGCTCTATAAGAGCAAACCAAATGCTATAAACATAGATAGAAGTTTCCTAGCCCCAGCAAACCAAAGTTCCAAAGACAGCTTCAGAATCAGCTGTTTAGGCAAAGGTTCTCTTACAACATGCAGTTTTAAAATACAGATAGTATTAGTTAATTAATTCTCAAACTTGCATCTATATGGAATATTATCTTAACACAAAGACTGAGTTAGGAACAGAGATGGTGGCAAATACTGGTTTAAGATGGGCAAAAACTCTGTTATTGACAACGGAATTGCACAATCCGCAAAAGTGAAGTTTTAAGAGCAGGAAAAAACTGAAATACATTCACATTAGTTCTTTATGATGTGGTTAGCACAGTTAACAGCTCTCTAAATTTAAAGAAAGAACTAGGATAATGGCAGTTCAAGCATCAGCTATCAGGTTGCATGCCACCACCTGAGTACAAATAATTGGCAAACAGCTTTTGCAATTTATAATTACAGCTGAGACACTCGAGCAACTGGAACTAATAGATTTGCCTGCCTGACCCAGTGAACTGGGAGACAATAAGGCATATATAGCAGTATCTAGTCAGAAGGCATATTCCAGGGAAACCTGTTCCTTGAATGCACAGTGTTGTGCATCTTGTGCAACAAATTAAGACAAACCAATAAAATGCATTAAAATTCCAAAAAAAAAAAAAAAATCCAACAAAAAACACCCACCCAAACAAAAACAAAAAAGAAACAATACAATATCCTATAAATTACTGAAATCTATGGCACTTTCCTCCATAGTTCAACATTCAAGTATAAGTTGATAGGCAATAAATCCAGTATGAATTTATTCTATACTACCCAATAGCCAAAGTTCTCTGGGTGTTGTATAGCAGTTAGAAAATACGAAAAACACACAGTACATCATTGCTGCAACATTGGCTTTCCTTATACAATGCCTTGCAGAACATTCACACATACCCTTTGACTTATCCATGTTTTGTTCTGCTACTACTTGGAACTGAAATAGATTTAACTGGCATGGTTACCACTTCGACGTACACAAGATGATCAGCACTGTGAAGCACAAAATACTATGGCACAAAAATTAAGTAAACAAAACCAAACTGGCACTTAGTGATTTCCTAAGTATTTAACCCCTTGGCTATGATATGCCTAAATAAGCTCTGCTGCAACTCACTGCCTTCAGAAGTCAGATTTTGTAACATAGAAACAGCGCGAGTCAGAAGGCGCCTTCCGGGCCATCTAGTCTGACCCCTGGCTGTGGCCGGCTCCGCTCACGACATGCCCACCATGTGCATGTGTGAGTAGCTCAGTGGAGTCCACCTGTCTGAAATCCCAGGGCTTCATGATCTCAGGTTAAATGAAGGCTCCGGAGTTTACTGGAAAGCATATCTAAACAAACAGCACCATGAAAATGAAGAAGCTATCCAAACAACTCTAGGATAAAATTGTGCAGAAGCATCATTCAAGATTGGGTAAAAAAAAATAAATCCCAAACTATGAACTTTCCCCACAGCACCATCAAATCTGTTATTACAAAATAGAATATGGATCAAGTACAAGTCTTGAGAAGGCCATTCACCAAAACTCAGGGACTGGGTAAAGGGGCATTAGAGAAGCAACTAAGAGGTCAATGGTAACTCGGGGGGAGCTGAAGAGCTCCACAGCTGAGATGGAAGAAACAGTCCATGGAACAACTATCAAGCTGGATGCTCCACAAAGCTGGGCTTCATGGAAGACTGGTAAAGAGCAAGCCATTGTTGAAGCAAATCTGAAACCCATTTAAAGTTTGCAAAAAGGAGACAAAGCAAATGTGTTAGAAAACATTATCTGGACTGATGACACCAAAATTGAACTTTTTGGGCCTGCTGCAAAATTTCATAAGTGATGCAAAAAAGCAGTTTCCATTGCCCTGAGAACACCACCCTACTCTGAGGTACAGTGGTGGCAGCAGCACTTCGTGCGGATGTTCTCCTTAGCAGATTCTGGTCAGAATTGAGGGAAAGATGGATGGAGCCAAATATGAGGCAGTTTTAGATGAAAACCTATTTCCATCTGCAAGCAACCTGGGACTGGGGTGGAGATTCACACTCCAGACCAAGAACCCTAAATATACAGCCAGAGTAATTTATAAAATAGAATCTGGATGTCTTTTGCTCACTCCAAGTCCAGACCTCAGTCTGATGGAAAATTTGTGGCAAGGCTTAAAAGTTGCTGTTTTCCCATGTACCCCATGCAACTTAACAGCTAGAAGAGTGATGCCAGGAATAATGGGCCAACACTGCAGGATCCAGATGCATAAAGCTGACAGAGAAGACAGAAAAGACCCAAGAAGATTCACACCTGTAATTGCTGACAACGGTGCTTTTACTATCGACTTGGGGGTGAATATATTTGTAACCAACAAATACCAGTTTGTTTTGTTTACTTACATTCACACCAAGTAAAACATTTTGCACTTTTAGTGTTGTGTCTCTTGTGTATATTAAGTGGTAATAATGTCAATTATATCCATTTCAATTCTAGGTTCTAACATAACAAAATGTGGAAATGTCAAAGGTGGGTGAATACTCCTGCAAAGCATTTTCTGATTTTTGAATGGGAATAGTTTATCTCTAATATGGATAAAAGCCTTAAAACTGCAAACAGTTTGTAACAAATGGCAATTTTTCCACCCCAGCAATACATAGAGCTGTTGCTGAAGATTACGGGACCCTCTAGAACAGCCACTGCTGAGGGAGCGGGGAATCTGGAGAGCCCCCATCCCTTTACTAACAGAAATGCCTCTACTCATGCTAGGAGAATCTTCAGATACAAGCTATGATCTCTGTATTTCAATAACTCACCAATTTGGAGAGTTTATCTATATATGTAACTGATTAAGGAAAGGCCCCTCAACTTTTTGGGTCTGTGAGTACATTTGTAATTTTGAGAAAGTGTTGTGGGCTCAGCCAGTTCCAGTCACAAAACTTTTATCCCAAAGGCAAACTGTTGAGACTGTCAAGAACCTAGGTACAAGGCAGACAGGATCTGAACTCCAAAGCAAAAAGTCACTCTTTTGAACCCAAATATAGATGGAATGTACACAGTACTTTACTTTGCAGCATGCCAACTTCCAATTTGTGTAACCATCTATTATACAAGTCTTAATAAAATAAAAATCAGAAGTCACAGGATGTCTGGTGGGTACAAAGAGAGGTTTCTGCAGGCACCATTGTACTAGACCCAAAAGTTAAACAATTTAAAGGAAGTATACTCAACACTGGAAAATGCTCTTAATGACTAAACCAATTATTAAACCAATAAATTGTGGGCCAAGCTGCATCAGGATGCTACCCTAAGCCTTCAGTGTGGAGTCTTTGAAGCACTGATTCCTCCCTATTATCATTGCCAACATATAGGTATTGATGCTATCCCAAGAGACAACAGGCAAATGGCACAACCATTAACATAGGACTATACCACAATTGTACTGAGGATGCCTGACCACATTTCAAGTTGCCAATAAAACATGTCTTTTTCAGTGCAAGCATGAAGTGCACCTCCATTTTTAAATCATAGGGAAAATGTGACAAGTTGTCAAAACATTTTGAAACACTGGCCCAAAACAAATACAGGTGATGCTTAATGTCTTAAAAAAAACCTTAATGGAATTAAGTATGATGATTTATAGTGCAATGAAAAAATATGACTACACAAATAACTTTTTTTATACTTACGAAAGAAAAATTGCCTAAGTGTGCAATTAATTTATGGATGCTCGGTGCTTTTCAGGGTTATTTTCTTGTGATACTTTCTTTTAATTTTTTTTTACTAAGTTCTAAACTTTTCTAAGTTTATTGTTTAAATGGCCTGTGCATCTTATGGCTATATAAAAGCCACATAATATACTCATTCTTACTCTTCTCCTTTATGTTTTCCAAAAATCTATCCGTACTTTGGAACCTGTTTTCCCTTCGAGCACATTTGCTTATCCACCCCTGCTACTGCCTGGTGCTTTTGTCCTGGCATAAAAGCATTGCAGGAGCTTGTGCTAGCAACAATTTGTTTTTCTCCTTATCACAAATCCTTCTTCATGGTCATTGCATCATACATCTGGGTTTCTTTTCCTATGCACAGCCTCACATGGCATGTTCGAGAGTTCAGCTATTTGGCAGGAGGCCTGCCTGCACATGCGTAAAAAGCGTGGCTCTCACTGTCCTCATGCAGTTGTTCTTTTCACGGCTGTGGTGACAGCACTGTTTGGAGTGCTCTGTCCTTGAGAGAAAGAACTGAGTCCTCATCCTTTTTCTTCCCCTCGTTTCTTACATGCTTCTGTTGGTTTCTTCTGCCTTAGTGATTTCATTTCGTTTTGGCTCACATGCCCTCATGCACTCCTTTCAAAGCATATGACCTTGAAGGCTCCCTGCTACAAATACACTGACAATGGGGGCAAGCTTCTTCTGCCTGCTCTGCCTCAGGGATGGCCACCTCATGAAACTGTGTCCTCACCGCTTGCACTTTACCTGACAGGCATGCCACAATTGCTCATCTAGATGCCAAGCAATCCCGTGGAACAGGTATTCAGGCTGCTGACCTAAGTATGCGTTACCCAGCCAAGAAACACAGTCCCAGTCTTGGTTCCACACCAGCAGCAGTCCTGTCACTGCTGAGTAAGGACACGGGAGCTTCTACCAAGTGCTCTGCAGATGACAGTCTGCTTAGCACAGGTCAGACATTACAGAAATCTATGGAACACTGCATGGAGGTCACTGGTCACATGGAGATCACTGGGAGATCACTGATACCTCTCTCTCCATTGGCATAGGAGTTCATGTAGTCATCAGATTTCCAGATCACAGCCACTACATCTTCACAGGCACAGTCATCTTCTGGTTCTAAAAACTCCTGAGCACTAAATTCAGTCCAATTCTCCCTATAAACTTTTGTCCAGCCAGCATCTCTGGCTGGCCATCACTGGGACTGGAATTCAGCTGCAGACATGGCCACTCCATGGAGGCTTGGAGGACCCTACCAATAGGCAACTTGGTCCTTACAGGGTGTACAAAGGTTTCTTCTCATGGCCTCTGTCAGTGCACCAAAGTGGGGATAGATGCCCTCCCTATGAGAAATGAATTTCTATCCTCTTGGGATGATTCTGTGCCTTCCACCTGAATGTTCTGCTCACCAATATGACTGACAAGCTGCAGAGGATCTGAACTTCATCCTGATGGCCCCATGGTGGCCTTGACAGTCTTGGTTTACTGCTCTCTCCATGTTACAGCATGGACATCCAGCTCCTGACTTGTCTAGGCCTTCTTTCCCTGGACAATGGACAAATATGTCACCTGGGTGTACAGGCCCTCAGACTGATGGCAAAGCACAACCAACTTGCTTGGCAGTACCACCTACTGAAGGTTTGTCTACTTTCCTGCCAAAATCATCAGCCATGGAATACTTGGACCAAGGCTCTGTAGATTTTTATCAGCATTTGAGGCCCTCCTTCTGAGAAGGCTCAGGAGGTGGCAGCAAGGGAGTGGGCCTTCTCTGCAGCAGACCCAACTATGGAATGTTCTCACTGAGGCCTGCCTGGTACCAACAATTTCCAATTTTCAGCACCCTGTTAAAATTCTCTACTCCTAAGCATTAGAGTTTAATGTTAGTTATTTTGCCAGGTTCCAGTATCTTATGTTTTAGGCATTTAAATTGTTTTTAAATGTTTTGTGTGAAGGTTTTGATAAATGTTTAGCAATGTTTGTACACTGCCCAGAAAGTTCTCAGGATTGGGTGATACAGAAATAAAACAAAAACAATGCAAAAATGCACAGATAAGTGATCAAAGAACTGGTTACATGTGAGAATCCTATCATCACATTCAAAAGCAGACTGTCATGGAAATAGGGATGGGGTGGGGGTGTTTGCAGGAACCCCCCCCCCCAGAAAATAGCTCCTTGGGGAATTTTGTTTTAGATCAAGTTATATTTGATTAATCCCTAGAAGTTATTTTATGTGGTAAGACTGAAAGTTAAGCAAACCCTTCCTTATACTTTGAACCTATTTTACTTTCAGTTACAATCCTAAGGGGGAAAATATCCTTCCTTCTAAAAATGCACAATTGCTTCTTTATTAAATTGTAGTAAGTCCTTCAATATCTCTAAACATCACCAATTACTGAGGTTTTAGTAATATGCACACATTTAATAGATCAAAATGATTGAGGAAAATATATTTTTACACTGCAATCCTATAAAGGATTATTCAAAAAAATCTCACTGAGTTAAACAGAGCTTATTTCCAAGTAAGTATGCAAAGGACTGCAGCCTAGTAAAACATACCTGATATCGTTTTGGCCCGATGGCTGCCATCCAAATACCCATACTCACATCTTCACCCTAAGCATACAGTTCACATCAAAACAAAAACAAGGAAAGCAGGTTAGTCTGAATGAGGACTCAAAAAATCAGGATTCTAACTGGCTACTCCTTTGATTGGCCCAAAGCCATCTAGAGAGTTTCAAGGTCAGGTGAGCACTCAAACAGAGTTACTGCCCTAACCATGACACCATACAGGCACTCTTATCTCCCAGCAACAACTCAGCTTCAATACTAGAATGTCAGGCTTGTGCTTATGTAGCATCAGGACGGCTAAAGCAGGAAATGAACTGAGAATAGCAAGGGATACTAAGAACAACAAGAAAGCCTTCTTCAGATACATCCAAAACAAAAGACATGAGAAAGAGAAAGGGCGTCCAGATACTTAAAGTGGATGGCAGAGTGATAACAGATGACAAGGAAAAGGCAGAGGCGCTCAATTCCTACTTTGCCTCAGTCTTCTCCCACAAGGAAATCTGCAATCAAGAGGAAGTACAAGCTGGAAGTGAGAGATGGTAGCCCAAGACTGACAGACAAATGGTCACGGAATACCTAAATGGAATAAACACTTTCAAATCTCCAGGGCCCAATGAACTCCATCCCAGAGTCATAAAACAGCTTGAAGAGGAACTCTCAGAACAACTGGCTATAATCTTCAATAAATCTTAGAAAACAGAAGTGCCAGATCCCTGGAGAAGGGCTAATGTTGTCCCTATCTTCAAAAAAGGGAAAAAAGATGAACCTGGGAACAACAGACCAGTTAGTCTGACATCAGTCCCTGGGAAAAGTCTGGAGCAAATTATTTAAAAAATCAGTCTGCAAGCATCTCAAAAAAAATACAGTGATTAATAGAAGCCAGCATGGATTTATCAAAAATAAATCCTGTCAGACTAATTTAATCTCATTTCTTGACTAGGTAACCTCCCAAATGGACAGAGGGAACACTGTGGACGTAATCTACCTAGACTTTAGAAAAGCTTTCAACATAGTGCCACACAACATTCTGATAAGCAAATTAGCAAAAATTGGACTAGATGGAAAAACTATTAGGTGGATCCAAAATTGGCTGCTAAATCGGACACAAAGAGTGCTCATCAATGGCACCTCCTCAAACTGGATGGAGGTAACGTGTAGGGTGCCACAGGGCTCAGTCCTGGGCCCACTGCTCTTCAACATTCTTATTAATTATTTGGATGAGGAAGCAGGAGGAAAGATAATCAGATTTGCAGATGATACAAAACTGGGTGGAATAGCAAACACCCTAGAAGACAGAATGAAGATCCAGATGATCCATCTTGATGCACTTGAATACTGGACTGCAAGCAACAGAATGAGATTCAATAAGAACAAGTGCCAAGTCCTCCAACTAGGAAAAAGGAACCAAATGCATCAATACAAGATTGGGAATGCGTGGCTCAACAGAACTGAAAAAGATCTTGGAATAATTGTGGACAATAAGCAAAATATGAGTCAACAATGTGATGCAGTCACCAAAAGGGCAAATACTATGAGTATTTTCGGATGTATTAACAGAAGTATTACTTCCGAATCACAAGATGCAGTAGTTCCTCTATACCTTCTCACTAGTCTGGAATCTGGAATATTGTGTTCAGTTTTGGGCACCAAGATTTAAGAAAGATGCAGGAAAATTAGAAAGGATCCAGAGGAGCGCAACAAGAATGATCCAGGTTTTGGAAACACTGCCCTATGAGGAGAGACGGAGAGAACTGGGCATGTTCAGCCTTGAGAAGACTGAGGGGGCACAGGATATCCCTCTATAAGTACCTCAAAGGCTGTCACAAAAAGGAAGGTCAAGATGTCTTCTTGCTGATGCCAGAGCGTAATCAATCAAGTTGTGGCAACCCAGATTCAGGCTGGACATCAGGAAAAGCTTCCTCACTGTGAGAGCAATACGGCAGTAGAACCAGCTGCCTAGAGAGGTGGTGGGCTCTCCCACACTAGAGACATTCAAAAAGAAACTGGACAGCCATCTGAGTGGGAAGGTGTAACTTAGCGTCCTGCAACAGCAGGGGGTTGGACCTGATGGTCTTCATGCCCATTCCAACTCTAGTATTCTATGATTTTACATGTAATCCAAGTTATTATTTAAGTAGACATACCGTTTGTTCCATCCCAGCTGCATTCCCTTCCATCAAAATACTTACCTGGTATATCTTTAGTCTGTCTGAGTTGCTTGCAAGCCATTCTACAATGTCTTTGGAAATAACATAACCAGACCCACAAGCAAAGGCAGGATATGCGGGACTTGGATATTCCAGTTCTTGCCACTTCCCAGTCCGGTCGACTGCCCAATTTAATCTAAAACTTAAGAAGCCATTGCAAAATATTAGATGAAAGGCCATATTCTTGTTCCTTAGGATATTAACTGGAACCTAACAACTCCATCTGGGGACATCAGAGGAGTGTCAAGACCTTTAGGCCTGGCTGTCAGGGTTCCCAGAAAAAGTACTTGCATGTCAAAATTTACCCCAACTTCACTAGGAAGGACTCTTTTGTTTTACTTCTATGAAACTCTGCACAGTTATATGTATTCTGATTATACATAGAACAACACAGCTTATTAAATAAATTATGCTACTCACTTTCCCCACCAAGTATTTGGTCTGCCCAAGTTTTTAAGCTTTATTCTGTTGAACACAGCTTCTAAATCTATGTAGCAGTCATCATCTGTCTTCAGTAGTACATCAAAACTTACTGCTTCCACTGTCCTGTAACCAAATCAGAAACAATGAGAAAAGTTGCTCTTAACAACCACAGTGCTGGAATTCAGCATTGAAAAAGACCTATTGCAAGGATGATCAAAGATTCAGTCTCAACAGTTTAAGAGTTGCACAAAGGAAAGAACTCTTGCCAGTGTAGCATGCCAGTCATTCCATGGCATAACAAGTCATACTATTTGAAATCTGCTTTGAGACATGAAAGTAACGAGTCTTGTTTCTGAAAAGTCTGACATTCTTTGTCTAATGACAAAAACTGTCATTTTTATATTTTTCAACATTGAGAGGCAGTTCTTTCTGAACAAAGCTTTGCTGAAATCCATACTTGCACAAAGGGTTCCTGTCATATTTTATTCTCAGCAAGATAGTATACTAGAGACATAGGCTGTTTAAAAAAAATTCCAAAAGTATAGATCAAATGGAGAAGGAAGAAAGCAGGGTTTAGGAGATTGCTTGTTAACATTTTTGTTAACCAGATGGGTACTCAAGCACTGGAGTTGCACAGAAGGGAATGCACACGTTCCAAGGTTATTAAAACCCTAAGAAATATATATGAGTAAAAGTTCACACAATAATGAAGATGTATGAAGGATTTGGGGACTGTCAAAGCTGCATTCCTTGCTGATAATGATATTATAGACAATATGGAACTGGCATCTATGACATGTGCCAAATTCTTCACAGCAATTATAACAGCAGGGGATGCACTAATGTGAAGAAAGAATCCCATTTTAATCTAATGTGCATCCATTACTTGGAACATGTGATAGCCCTACAAGGAGGAGTGCAACCAGGAAGACAGATACAAAGTGCGGAGAAAATGAGAAAACATGTACATTCTTTCTACTAAAATCTAATTGTGCAGAAAGGACTTCAATCATTTCAAGTTATGTTGCATTCTGACTTGCAAATGCCTAAAACATAAATATCCATGTACAGATAATTTGTCACCAGAAATAAATCAAAGTCCCTGACTTCCTTCCTACCATCGATAGAAATTCAGTAATTTGGCTGGAACATTTCTGTAGGTATCAACAACATCAACAAAAACAATATCGTCATAAGTGTTGCTTTCCTCCTTCAAAAGAGCATCCTCCTCTTCAAGTTTACTTATATGATGAATGAATCTTTCTGGGCGATTCTGCAGGCTTTCTAGAAGTACATCTCCTTCTAAAAGGGAAGCAGAAGAAGTTAGTATTCACAGGACAGCAATATGCAGTCTCTACTCTCTTGAAGAGTCAGTGTGGTTTTTGCGGTCAGATCCTGATTCTAGTCAGCCATGCATTCTACTGAGTGACTTTGGGCCAGTGACTATGTTCACAGGGTTCCTGTGAAATTAAAATGGAGAGGATGACCACTTTGTAAGCCGCCTTGGGTTCTTCACAAGAGGAAAAAAAGCAGGATATAAAATGTAACTTAATATGCAGTATATTAGCAAATAGGTAAGTTGATATTTCAAGAAATGTGTCATCTTAAAAGGCATGTGAATTCAAAATGAGGCGACAACCAAACAGTGGAAACAATAAAAAACCAATGCATGAAATCCAATATTGTGCAAGTGGAAGACCACATGCACTAGATGGCTGTCCCCTCCCTCCCTCCACCTGTAGCCCATACCCACTCCCCAAATTTGCTCCGGAGGGTCTTTAACGCTCCAACTCAGATTTAGTTACATTCAGAAGGCACACAGGAATCTGCAAGTGAAAGGAAGAATCACTTGCTCCCCATTGTATTGGTGGAAGGCAATCCATCAATGGGAAGGACTAATTAGATAAAATTAGAAGATCTGGCTTACACACAACAATTTGTCAAGACTTCCAAACCCAGCGCCAGGTATGCCCCTTCCCTGGGTTGGTATCATGCCGTCCAAAGCCAGAACTCTGGGTTGTTGTGGGGTTAAGCAATAGAGAATTAGCCCAAGAACAAGCCATGGACTTCCTCTCTACACTGGAAGACAGTTAACCTCCAAGGCACACCCAAAATCAGGGTGCTGCATGGCCCAGGAGTTGAGCACCATTTGCTATAGCGATTTGTAAGTGGTTAATCAGTTGTGACAACTCTCTGGCACAATGGTGCTCTACGATTGTGATAACTGATCAGAAGATGCATACCCAGTGAACCACACAGTATTTGAGGCGTATCTGTCAGAGTTCAGCTACCTGTAAGGCACCAGTAGAATGAAACATTGGCAGAGCAGACTCTCCTTTTTGATGCTCCCTGAATTTTTACATACTTACCCTGAATTGTGTAAATAAAGCCTCCTGCAATCCCCTCCACACCTTGTGTAAATTCATGTGGCAATGATCCTTCCCCTGCCTATTACACAAAGGGATGTAAAAGAAGATCTGTTAAACTTTTAGTGCAATCATATCTGTGCTGAAAAACTAAAATATTTGAAAACTAGTTATTAGTGTCATGCTTTCTTCCAAAGAACACCAACACATTTCTCAGTTCCCTGTGAATTCTGCACTGCTGATCCCTAGAACCAGTACCAGAGCAGAGTTCCCATAGTAGGGGACCATACTGTTCAGTATGCAGAGGTGGGCACACTTGGTTGGATCAAGAGGTTTCACAAGTGGGAATCAATTGATTAAATGTTGCTGCCTTAATCCAAGCGTAATTGCTCAGAGCAGCCTGTAAACCATTACACTCAAGTCATAATGACCAATAAAGGGAGAGCTCGTGTTTTGCTAGCGGGCTGTCGATCTGGGTTGTTTCAGCCAGGGGAGGGCAGAAGCATATAGGATCTACTGGTAGAATTTTGGCTGATTTTTCAGGAGAAGGATTTCTGCCTCCCAACTGTCTCACAATAGCAACCACTAAAAATTCTTCCCACAGCCCAAATTCCATTGTAGAAAATAAATGCTTGGCAGAAAACTGATGCTGGATTTCTGCGTGAAAGAATTTGTGAGTTTGATTCTGCTACTTCTAGGGTTGAGCATATACTCAGAGGTTCCTTAATCTTTAGCTTATGTTGGGCCATCTGAGCTCTTGCTAACTATTGCACTTATTAATTCTTGCTAACTTTGGCCTTACATCTATTTAGAACAAAATTTTCTATTTTTTAACAGATCACTTAGTAATGCTTAAAGTACAACTTCTGGACTCCAAAGTATTTTTTTCTGTACTGGTGGTAGAAGTCCTTAGAATGATAAAACAATTATTCTGCTTACTGAATATTTATACATATATTTTATGGAAACATTTGTTCCATATGTTGATACTCAGCACTTTGTGTATGTGTAGCAGGTCCCTCTTTATCTGACTCAAAATTGTGCATGATAATTTGTTACATTTTATATAACTCTAACAGTTGACACAGTATTCAAGATGTAGACAATAACATTGATTTAGATGGAAAGTATGATGTTTTCTTATTTTATACTCAAGTAGCAATTTTAAATTTTGTTATACTTATTTGCATAAAATAGTTCAGAACATATTTTGTCAGGCTAAAAATCATAAACCAAGACAAACACCCTCAAAGTGCTTTAAGGTAGCATTTAGTAAGAAGCCAACAATGAGGACTTGGGTTGGATCCAGTATCTGCCTTTATGAGAAAAAGGGTGAGTCCATCTGCCCAATTTTTCAGGATCCCCCCCTTCCCATATCACATTTAACCCAGGTCTCCTGACTCTGTGTGGCATTCTCAGATGGGTAGAAGATTTGTCATGGGAAGGAGTAGGGAAGTCTACTTATAACAGCACAATTCACCAAGTTTATAGCAGATCTAACCTTTTATATAAATTGTGAATTGATCCAAGTTGCATAATGCCAGAAATATAAAACACTATAAGTCCAAGTTAAATAAGTGATAATTCTACTAAAACAAGAAGACAAAAAGAATAAGAAATTCTTTAAGACTCTGAAATGCCTAAAATGTTTACCAAAGCACTGCCTTGTTATAAACACTCTATGCCAGAATAAAAGGACAGACCGTGGTGATTCTGAAGACACCTCCGCCATCATTCACCATCACTTTATGAAGATTTTGAGAAACAAGGCCTTGGAGATCCTGGCTTTCCCACACAATAGTGCCTTCAAAACTCTGTCAAAACAGTCACCACTTACTATTAACACAGTATCTGTATGTGCACACACTAGACAAAGGGATTTTGTCAAATTGTTTATGACAGATGGAAACTTAAGCATTATCATTTAATTTTAAGCATCACATCCTTATCAATACCAACAGCTGCATAATGAATAAATATCATATTAGGAAAATTAGAGAAAAGGCAAAATGTAGTATCATACCATTTAATATTTTTAGTTGAATATTTGCTCCTCACCAGGAAAAATACCTTTAATATAGTTTTGAAACTACAATTAAAGAACTTTAGCCAAACAATCTATTTTGTGATCTCTCCCAAAAGAACATCAACACCAAAAATGACTTGTGGTAGTGGTGGGGAGGGAGGGAAGCTTCCATGGTCCTATGCTGTCCCCCTGGATACCTGCAGGGAGACCGAAGGAGGGGAGAGGATACCCTACCAGGATACCCTACCAAAAAGGTACCTGATTGTCTTCCAGGCACGTTTTGGGAAGGGTGGCTTGTAAACTAAGCCCTCAGTCTGGCTTGTCATGTTGTCTGAACCCAATGAATGAAACAAGTGGAGGCAAATGTTGAGGCTGCAAGTTTTATCTACTATGTTAATCCACAATAATTTATCCATAACCAGAAACTTTCTCTGCTCAAAATCACTAACAGGGATTAAAGAATCTCGATTTCCTCAATCAACAGCTTTAGATGGAAAGAAATAAGCAAACCCACCTTACTTCCTCATCATTTCATGACACACCAATTAATTGGTTATTAAAGAATGCAACTATTCTGTATTATATCAGCAGAACAGCCCACCAATGCCCACTGAACTGTCAGGATGAGCAAAACCACAGTTCTCTCTCCATTTCAATAAAGTAATTCAGCTGCCCCACTCCAAGTGTTTGCATGCTGTTTTAAAGCACAACCCTGTACATTTTCAGTAAAGTAGCCATGTTAGTTTCTGTTGTAGGAAGAAAAGATTAACACTTCAGTCCACTCCAACAGGTGCTAGTTGGGGAATGCTGGGAGTTTTAGGTCATTTTCTGGTCTAAATATGCACTGGATTGTACTATACGTTTGTCAGTTTAAAATGCTTGAAATACCACCAGATGTTTCTCAAGGTTATAAACAGATTCAAGGCAAGCACTAGGTCTCCAACACCATGTTTCTCTCTTAAGTCTAAAGCACAGGATAGGGAGACAGTGAGAGCTTTGCAAGGGAGAGTCATCAGGCAGGATGGTAACTTAAACCTTCTGATCACAATTTTTCCCTGTTAGTACCTTAATGGTAGTTGCAGGGGGCTTCTTCTTGTGCCCTTCTGTCCTATCTTATCTTGTTATCTTCAGAAACAGTGTTGATATTTTACATTTGCAAATATGTCTTTTTTTCCATCCTGAAAAATGGGGGAAAACAGATGCGTGTGTGTGTTTTGCAGTGGGTGGGTTGGAGGGTTTTAATTGCATTTTATTGGATTTGTTTTAGTGACTCCACATCTGGCTGCTGCTTTTAAGGGGTTGCCTGGGGAGCGCGTGGGCAAGAGTTGATATGGCATTGGGGGTTTAACATGTCAGCATAGGAGGAAGAGGGTCAGATGTCTGTTCCTCCTTCTGGTTATTCCCCCAACCGGAAGGTTCTGGGTAAGCTTATCAACCGCCCCTCGGGCCTGATGGTGCTGCTGCTCAATGCCAGGTCAGTCCATAATAAAACATCCCTCATCCACGAGTTAATTGTGGATGAGGGGGCCAACCTGGCTTGCATTACAGAGACCTGGGTGGGAGAGGGGGGGATGTAGCCCTCTCTCAACTGTGCCCGCCTGGGTATCTAGTTCAGCACCAGCCACGTCTGGAGGGGAGGGAAGGGGGGGTCGCTTTAATTTACTGAGCTTCTATTTCCCTTGCGGGGCTTCCTGTTCTCTCGAGACCCGGTCTAGAGTGCTCATACCTGGCACTGGGCGATCAAGACAGATTGGGGATTCTGCTGGTGTACCGTGCACCCTTCTGCCCATCAGACTTCCTGCCTGAGTTGACGGAGATCATCTCGGACCTGGTGTTGAAGACCCCCAGGATGTTGGTCCTGGGGGACTTCAATCTCCATGCCAAGACTGTTTTGACGGAAGCAGCTCAGGACTTCATGGCCTCCATGAAGGCCATGGGGCTGTCTCAACATGTCATAGGTCCAACCCATGAACGTGGTCACACACTGGACCTGGTTTTCTTGACGGGGCACGAAGAGGGTGATTTGAGGGTGAGGAATTTGTGTCTGACTCCCTTGTCATGGTCAGATCACTTCCTCATGAGGTTTGAGCTCGGAGCTGGCCTTACCCTCTGAAAGGGTGCGGACCCAGTTGTAATGGTCCGCCCTCAGAGCCGGATGAATTTGGATGGATTCCTGAAGGCTCTGGGGGATTTTCCGATTGATAAAGCTGGCACTCCTGTTGATGCTCTGGTTGAACTGTGGACTGGGAAAATGGCCAGAGCAATTGACACGATTGCTCCTAAACATCCTCTCCTGCCAGGCAGAGCCTGTCCATCCCCATGGTACACATCCGAATTACGGGCGATGAAGCGGGTTGGGAGACGTCTAGAGAGTAGGCGGAGGAAATCACAGGATGAATCTGACTGTACACGCCTACTTGCTCATTATTGAGCCTATGCTGTGGCAGTGAGGGCAGTGAAGAAGAAATTCTTCTCCACTTCCATTGACTCCTCACAGTGCTGTCCAATGGAGCTTTTTCAAGTGCTGCATGGGCTGATATATCCCGGCCCTAAGAAAGATCCTGTACCACCATCAATGGCCCACTGTGACAACTTTGCCCAGCACTTTAAGGAGAAAATCACTCAGATTCGTCACGAGCTGGACTCCACAAGTGATTCAGATCCTTTAGGGGAGATGCCAATGACTCCATCTGGTCAGATATTAATGGATGAATTTCAGTTACTGCAGCCCGATGATGTGGACAAGGTGCTTGGAAAAGTATGTCCTACCACCTGCTTACTCGACCCTTGCCCTTCGTGGCTGCTGACCAAAGCCAAACACAGGATTGGTGCCTGGATCCTGGAGGTTATTAACACCTCTCTGAGGGACAGCCAGGCACCCACTCCTTTAAAGGAGGCAGGAACCAGGCCTGTCCTAAAGAAGATGTCTCTGGATCCAGAGATGGCCGCCAATTATAGACCGGTGGCCAACATCCTGTTTTTGGGCAAGGTGTTGGAACGGGTGGTGACGGGACAACTCCAAGCACATTTGGATGAAACTGATTATCTGGACCCATTTCAGTCTGGCTCTAGACCTGGGCACGGTACTGAATCAGCCTTGGTTGCCCTGTATGATGACCTGTGCAGGGAGAGAGACAGGGGGAGTGCGTCCCTGTTGGTTCTCCTGGACCTCTCAGCAGCTTTCGATGCCAGCAACCATGGTATCCTCCTGGTTAGGCTGGTGGGACTGGGAGTAGGAGGCACTGCTCGGCAGTGGTTCCACTCCTACCTTGACAGCCGATTCCAGAAGGTGGTGCTGGGGGACATTGGCTCTGCGCCATGGCAACTCTGCCATGGAGTACCACAGGGTTCCATTTTGTCCCCCTTGCTATTTAACATCTACATGAAACCGCTGGGGGAGGTCATCAGGAGGTTTGGGTTGCGGAGTCATCAGTATGTTGATGACACCCAGCTCTACCTCTCTTTTTCAACTAACCCAGGTGAGGCTGTGGCTGTACTGAACCGGTGCCTGGCCGAGGTAATGGGCTGGATGAGGGCCAATAAACTGAAGTTCAATCCAGGTTCTGTTGGTGGGTGATTCGAGCTCCTGGGTAGATGATTTGGTCCTTCCCTGGACGGGGTTGCACTCCCTCTAAAGGACAGGGTTCGCAGCTTAGGAGTGCTCCTCGACCCGGAGCTGTCCTTGGAAGCGCAAGTGACAGTGGTGGCGAGGAGCACTTTCCTTCAGCTTCGGCTAATCCAACAGCTGCGTCCCTACCTGGAGGAGGATTGCCTAGCAACAGCAACACACTCATTGGTTACTTCCCAACTGGATTTCTGTAACGCGCTTTATGTGGGGCTGCCCTTGAAGACAGTCCGGATACTTCAGATGGTATAAAACGGAGCTGCCAGGATGCTGTCGGGGACTGGGAGTCTCATATAACCTCAATCCTCTATCAGCTCCACTGGTTTCCCATAGAAGTCCGGGCTCAATTCAAGGTGCTGGTTATTACCTATAAAGCCCTAAACAGCTTTGGGACCAGGATACCTAAAGGAACGCCTTCTTCCCTATTTGCCCTCCCGCCCCCTGAGATTGGCAGCAGAAGCCCTCCTCTGGGAAACCTCTGTGAAAGATATTAGGAGACAGAGTACCCGGAGGAGGGCCTTCTCTGCGGTGGCGCCCCATCTATGGAATGCGCTCCCCATAGAGGTCTGCCTGGCGCCGTCGTTATATGTTTTTCGGCGCCAAGTAAAAACTTTTTTACTTAATCAATATTTTAATATGTTTTAATATTGAATTTTAATACTGTATTTGCAGCCAGAGTGGGTTATCTATGCTGTTAGCCATCCAGAGACACTGGTAATTGGACAGCATACAAATTTCATAAATAAATAAATAAATAAAACAGCTGAAAACTCAATAACTGTATTGGAAAGGGCAAGATGGTCAGATTACTAATTTCAGTGATCTCTTCCAAAACGCATCTCATTTGTTTTAAAAAAAACAAACTCTTTTCTCCATTTGTTAGCAGCCCACTCATAAGTGTCCAGTATTCAATAGCTTTTCAGCATATTTCCATGTATACCTTCTCCCCATCTCCCAATTTAGCTCTTCCCCAACTTATTCACTAACTCCAGAAGGAAAACAGAAACTGGTTCCCCTTTATACTCAAATTTTATCTTGGTTGAGATTGGGGAATCTGCAGCAGAGAAGCTGCATATGCAGTTTTACTCTGCAAGATGTTTTTAAGAGAATAAAAATTTTGCAAAGCTCTTTTCAGGTGTGTCTGTCGCCAGGTAGAACACCAG